AGTCTGTAAATACTAAGCCACCTAGTGAAATGGGCATCTTCGAACACGATTACATTTGTTCCAGAAATCAACTAGCTGCCTCTTTTTGCACTTTGTGGAAAGCGCTACACTTACTTGCCATATCAGAAATCGGTTTCAAAAAATCTGCCAAACTGTGGAATTAGAAGCAAGCCAAAATCTCGTTTGTCCTATTTTTCGATTTCAATGCCTGTGTTTTCACCAACTATTACTCAGAGCAAAGAAGAGGAAACGGGATCATTTGATTCCTACGAAATCTACGAGGTCTAAGCTATAGAATCATAGAAGTATCATTCGTTAAAAATGTTTTTGAAGGTAAGTTAACACGTTTCGGACCGGTGCTGCACATGATGCAGCACCCTGCTTTGAAGGTTCTTTCTGGCGTTTGCGAGAGATTTTCTCTAAGTCCGAAGTTATTGCGTCAAAGGTCTAAGCTCTTACTTTTTAAATGATTTTGTAGAGCTGTGCCGCCGATATTTGTTTACGAGATATAAGGACAAATCGAAAACAAAAGTTGCAACGAAGTGCGGCAACGCGAACGACGCGTGCGACGTCGCAACTTTTATTTGCTCCGATTTCAAAGAGATAAACCGTAGTTCCAATAGTGACGAGTACAGTGCACAACATGAATACTTTTAGATACTATTTGTAACTGAGTTCTTACTCCTATCTTTCAAGAAAACACAAAAGTCCCTCTCAAGCGACAAAATTCATACGCTTCGAATTCACCCAGAACTTTGGGTATGGAGCTTATCTGGCATGTTGATTACAGATGTAGTCCACAGTCTGCGAAATGCACAACTCCAAAAAGGCTGTGGCTGCCACACCTTTTTAGGGGTTGTGGCCCCATTAACTTACCTTCAACGCATTCAAATATCCATATTTTTACTACGTTGTCCGGAAAATAATGTCGCATTTAGTTCATTCAAGTTTGCGGGTCGGTCGTGAACAGATATGGAATCAAAATGTACTAAAATTTATATTATTTTGTAGCGCTAGTCATTCTCCACAGAAATATGTCACTAGTTTGTTTTCTGGTGCCATCTGATATTTTATGCAGCACATTGAAAAGATATGGAAAAAAAGCAATTGATTGATTTTTATTTTTTTTTGATTTTCTGGTTGATTTTCTGTACGAGTTCAAACTTGATCATAACGGAGCACAAGCGATTCGTAATATCAACATGGCGTTCGAAGGAACTGTCAACAAGTGCACAGTTGAACTTCGGTTCTTCCGTGAAGGAGATGAAAGCCTAGAAGATGAAGAAGGTCGTGGGCGACCCTTGGCAGTCGTCAACCAGGATTTGCAGGCCTTAGTCAAGTCGGACCCACGCAAGTCGACCCAACTGTACGGGAGGTTGCTGAGAAGTTAGGGGTAGGTCGCACTGCTGTTTTAAAACATTTAAAACAGGTGGGCAAGTCGAAAAAGCTCGATAAATGGGTGCCTCATGAGCTGAACGAGCAGCAGATCAGTCGTCGTTTCGAGGTGTCATCTGCGTTCCTGATACGAGACATTTTGAACCCTTTCTCAGCCGCATTATAGCGTGCGATGAAAAGTGGATTCTTTACGATAACCGAAAACGCTCAGCTCAGTGGTTGGACCACAACGAAGCTCCAAAACAGTACCCGAAAAAAAAAGTTGCAGCAAAGATTATGGTAACGGTCTGGTGATCTGCAGCCGGACCAATTCACTATAGCTTTCTTAGTCCAAGCCAAACGATCACAGCAGAAAAGTACTGTCAGCAGATAGACGAGATGCACCAGAAATTACAGCGTATGTGTCCGGCATTGACCATCAGAAAAGGCCCTATACTTCTCGGACAACACGCGACCTCACGTCTCACAAGTCACTCTGCGAAAACTCAGCGAACTTGGTTATGAAGTTCTTCCGCATCCACCATATTCGCCGGACCTGTCGTCAAGCGACTACAACTTTTTAAAGCACCTCGATAACTTTTTGCGAGAAAAAATCTTCAAAAACGAAAGTGAAGCCGAAAATGCTTTTCGAGCGTTCGTCGACTCCAGAAACCCTGGGTTTTATGCCAACGGAATACAGAAACCTGTTTCTCGTTGGCAACAATGTGTAGATCAATGGTTTTTATTTTCACTTATAAAGTTGAATAAGAGCGTAGTTATGCCCGTTCAAAAGTGGAGGAACAAATGCGACATTATTTTCCGGACAGCCTAATATATTGCTACTGCTAAACCTTCTAACCTTCTCCTCTATAACGTAGGAATTCCATTCAATATCGTTTGTTCTAGGGAAAAATAGAATTGTTTTTCGGTTCCGATAACATGCCGAGTGTGCTCTAAAACATGAATCGCAAAAGGAGGCGGCAAGAATATATGTATCCGGTAGTTTAAACCTCGTAATTTCTAGAGAAGTGATTTGAGCTCGATTGTTAATTTCTAGTGTGAGATATTTGAACTAAAAAAATGGAATAAACAAGATTGGGTTTGCTTCTAATTTCACAGTTTGGCGATTTTTTGAAGCGGGATTTCTAAGGTGGCCAAAGAAGGAGTAGTGCTTTCTATTGAGTGCAAAAAGAGGCAGCTAGACACTTTTTAAAACAAAGTCAATCGTGTTCGAAAATGACCATTTCAGGTGGCTTAGTATTTGCAAACTCCCAGAATTCGCTCATTTGGTTCACAGGAGCTATTTGACATATTAATTATGCATTTATCACCCATTATGCTTAATGGGGTTTTCATTATGCTATAGAGGATATAATGACGAGTTAACATCTCATGCGCCTGTATATTGCATATTGGGATTGTCTGACATGCTGTTTACTAATATCATGTTACGTGGCTATTATGTGCTTATCATTGTCGCTATTATCGGTATTCGACCCCCCAGGTGTGGCGCGCCACACCCTACGCTTTCCCTGCTCATAACTCGCTTAAGAATAAAGCTTCGCAGCTACGGACAGCATATTTGAAATTAGCGTCTCAAGCTGATTACGGATATATGCGTCGTCCAAAAGGCCGACCTAAGTTAGGTGCCTTCCCTTGTCAGAAATACGATAACGAACATAGTCTCGAGGTCAGCGTTTCAAGGCGAGCATCCTGATATATAACAAATTTTGAGAGGCTATGGACACCAGTTATCCTCCCCGTGCAAAAATGGATTTTGTGCCGGAAGCGAATTTTAAGCGGTTCATAATTATACAAACACCTCAGAAAAGCTCGATTTCCTATCGAAGATGCAACCTTCCGCCTCAATTTTTTTTTGTAAATGTAATAAATTTTTGCAATGTTTTTGCATGGTGTCGCCTTTCCATGGAGTTACGGTAAGTGTACGGTATAAATCAAAACCACGAACTTGCTCACTCTTCCCATGGGGTTATTTGGCCTCCAAACATCAATATCATACTTATTTCACAAGATAGCGTCATTCTTTGCGGATACGGTAGTTATATGGCAGTTAAGTCAAAGTCACTTGCTCAAAATTTTGCCTAAAGAGGATTTTCAGATGCTAATTACGAATACCATATGAATATCATACTTTTCTTGCTGCTATGCCTTATTTTAGAGTCATGGTGATTAGAAGCGTATAGGTAAATACTGTTTCGCTTTTCGAGCTATTTTAGGAACCCGAAAATTTACAAAAGGCTTTATCCTACGAAGTGGGCACCATATTCGTGATCAGCACATCAGACATCCCCTGCACAAAGTTTCAGTCAGATTCAAGATTTGACCTCCTACCATATACCTACCATAGCTCGAAAAGTTCTTAAAACGCAAAGAGAGTACGATATTCGTGATCCATGTCCGTATAACTCCTCCAAACAGAATTCAGCCAAATCTATAATTTTGTCCCCCCTCCCGTGAACCGAGCGTAACCCCATGAAAGCACCAAATGTAAAAAAAATTATGATATTTGAAGCATGTCGATTAACCCCTGCGGCAAGTTTCAGCTCGTGACTTCGACCCTTCATCGTATACCCACTCCACTATAAGCCCAGAAACGCGCTACCACACAAATTGGTATTTATGATAATCGGCAGCAGCGGGTCCAATACTCCCTCTAAACCTAGTTTAACGAAGATTCAAAATTTTGGGGCCCGGAGACTGGAATAGCGCCCGAACCTATTACACAAACTAAAGTACCAAATATCATGGTGCTTTCGACAAGAATTAGAGCGCTTACGCATTACTAACGTAAGAATTTGCTTTTTTCGCATTATCAACGTGAAATTTTGATGCCAAGATTAAACGTCGGTAGTTTATCAGAAAATAAGTAAAGGCATTCTTTATTCAACATTGAAAAAGATCTTATTTCTAAGCAAAAATCCACTTGGTCATAAGCCTTTGTTTTTTAATTCATTGCTGCTTGCCAAATCGTTCTTCCTTCGTTGACGAAAAAAATGAAGATTGCACTGCATCATTTTCTGGTCTGGAGTCAAAATCAGAATACATTTACCTGTTTATTTTTTTGGTTCTTTTCTATTCTTTTAATAGAGGAATTAGACCAACTAATTTTCGAAACACACCAATACATGTGCACAGCTACGCAAAGCAGACAAACCTTGTACTTTCATTTTTATTAAATTAAGGCATTTGATCACAGGTAAAACATCTTCCTATAAAGAAGCGCTGAGGAAAGATCCGACCCATTAGAACTCTCAAAATAAGTTGTAGCAAGTATTATAAACAAATTAAATGGACATTTCTGCAGAATCAAGCTTAACACCACAATATATTTCTTTACTATCTCATTTTATATCTTGCCTTATTAGTTGGATAGCTTTGTGCAATAACACAACTTTGAGAAAATGTGTCGTATACGCTACAGGACGAATACAAGTAGAAAAAGATGAAATGCCAGAAGTGATAGGGAACTCCGCAACGGACGAAGCTGATACAGGCATTAAGAGAGATACAAAAAAATACACGCTAAATATAAGGTCATAGAATCCCATCCAGAAACAATTTCAAAACTAGGATTATCACGCAGCAAGCCAGTTTTTTTGATACAAGCATTTATCATAAAAACTCAGTATTTATTTTATAAACTCTATTGCCATTCTCTAAGTAATTTATTTTGAGCTAACTGTTCTCCAATCGCTGTCACTTTTCTGAGCAGCTACAGCTGGAGCAGTTTCAGTGCGCAAATCAGAATCAGAAAGGAATGGGGCCATTGAGAAAACTGCGCGAGGTGCTGGGGCTACCGGTAGACCTGGTGGAGGGCATGGATCAGGGCAAATTCCTTCAAAACCCGGTGGTGGACCGGAGAGAATGTCGCTTTGTGGCGGTGTTATCAATCCTGGGGGAGCATCCTCTATCTGGAAATAAGTGTTATGCACAAAATTCAACCTATCTCCAGAAATTCTTAGAATTACCAGATTTCGTTCTACTATACGCTGCTCTTTGACAGCGTTGCTGAGAGGTGGCGGAATAGTAATCGACGCTTTCGGCTCACTTAGAGTTTTCTTTGAAGCACTTTCGTCTTCTTTCGGTCCCAAAACGTTCGAAAGCGAGAGGTTGGAGAAAAGCGAAGATTTCGAAGGCAAGGAAAACTGCAACAGTACTATGTGAGGAACGTTATGTATAGACTTTCGCTCCCAAAGAAAAACAATCCATGCCAACATTAGCAACAAAAATATTGCGCGAGCAACTCAAAAAAAAGCTCACCCAATCTAGTATAGAGGAAGATATGGCCGCAGTTTCTGTTTCCCTTTCTTTCAAACTTTCTTTCGAAGCGACATCCTTCTCTGCTGACTCCTCGATAAATCTCTCCACCTCGGATAAATCAGCATTTTCACCCTTTTGAGCCCCTTGTGTCTGCTCGAGTTCACCACTGGCTTGTGATTCCTCTTTTGATAAATTTTTATCTTCCTTTCGGACAGGGTGTTGGACTTCCCTATCTGGAGCACTTTTCTTACTTTTACGAAGAACACCAACAAGTTTCTGCTTTGGGAGAGGTTCTTCGCGATTCGTTCTACTTGAGTCCGACAGGTGTTGCATATCATGATTTTCAACGGAAGCGAGATGCAGCTGGTCCTCAGACGAGGATCCGAGGTCTTCTGCTCCTGGATGGTTGCTGATTTTGGATGTCTTTGGCTTCACCTGTTTCTTCTTGTCCTGCTTCTTTGCTTTCTGTGGCACCTTAACAGACTCATTTCTAAAAATCACCCAGCAGATCAGCGTTCCACCAACCTCTTGCCATTGCGCTGGTTCCGGTTCCCGCGTTTGGGTAGTTGCGGGCCTTTCAGGCCAAACATCTGGTTGCGGTAATCGCTTTGTATTATTGGGAACTTTACAATCCACAATAACCGACTAAAGCACATTTTGAGGTTAGTATAAGAATCTGGCAGGCAAAAATTACCCTGACCTTGGAATTCTTCTTTTTCGACCAAACAGAGGTAGAAGGAAGCAGTTTCGTAGCAACTTGTAATGCAGGAAAATCTTCAACAGGACGAGGTGGGTCTTGTGACCTGAAACATCGAATCGGATGCAGGAAAGAATGTTCAGAGGAGAGTACTGTGATACTGGAGCATATCAGGACTGTAAACGAAGCTTTAAGACGCAAGATTACAAAGTCTGCTGAAGAGGTGCCATTGCAAGAAAGACTACTACAGTCATATTATAAGAGCGCTTCTAGAGCATGTTCGCATTGCAAATTGTGAATGAAACCTTAGCAACAACCAGTGGAAGATTATTACTTATTAGGCAAGAGAAGGGCGCACTGACTAAACGATAAGATTCTCTGTGCGGTCACCAACTCAGATTTTTTTTATCGACCATCGACGACTGCACATTCAACTAAGGCCCATGGCACTTTTGAAAAATTCCAATATTTCAGTTTTCTCCTGAGCCTTTGCAAATGAGGTGATTTTTCAAAGAACTATACTGCAAATTTTCACTTTCCCGCCAAGATCAGTATCAATAAAAAAAGCAGCTTCCTGTGATAGCGCTAACCATACGAAATAAAACTTGAAAAGATTACGTCGTCGTCAATAATTCGAACGCAGTTTTCTGAAACTGAGTCGATGCACGATTACTGCGCTCTACCAGTAATTCCTTGCTGGACATAGCATAGTTGCTTAAAGCACGGTCATTTCACATAAACCTACAGACGCTCTTACACCGCCCGCCAAAAAACACAGTGTGCATGTTTGGCTAGCTGTAAGCTCGTGAATGTCCGCAATGTTTAACTTCTGCAACAACCAAGTATCATTCCGAGAGGATTCCACATGGAAAGGACGCTTCAATTGGTGGCGATTTTTGAAAGCAAAAGTTTTGAAGGCAATGCTGCAGAGCAGAAGGCTGTGGAGCATAGGAGATAACACGAAAACCATGCAATTTGCATATACATACAGTCAAGAATTCCTCATTACAGTAATGAATGACTAAAGTCATCCAAAAAACGGCATCAGACCGGACGTGGCATCAACATGTTTTTCATTGATGTTAAAGTGAGAGTCTATCTAGACTCAAATCTGAGTCGAAGAGACCAGAAGGAGTGCGAAGACAGAAAAGGAAATGTAGATGATGCCAAATGAATGCCGAGAAAACTGTGCAAAACAGGGCACAAAAAAGACTTACTGTGGTTGCTGCCGCGATCCACTGGGAACAGCTCCATTCTGCTGAACCTGTTTTGCACCAGGATGATTGACACGATTTAATCGCGGAAAGTTTTCGGGACGCAGGGTCTGAATACTGATTATCAATCAGACAATCCAGGACGCACAGAACATTATATGTGAAAGAATATGAAAACAAATAGGTAGCACATACCGTAAGAGCAGGATCGGAACGTGAGCTCGGAAGACTTGGACCTAGACTGGGAAAATCCTCGTTGAGCGGAGTGTAGGCCGGAGCAATATTGTATCTCACGGCACGACTACGACTTGTACTTTGCGCTGACGGGACAACCACAAACTCATCGGTTCTTGAAAGTCAAACATAGCCAAATTTAAAGAAAGTGACTAAGTTTGTCAAACAAACAAGAAAATGACTATCTTTAGTAGGCAAACTTTCGTCAGTGAAGAATTTTCTTTCTGCCTGTTTTTGTTGTAACCATACCTTTTGGGAGCAACTGGTTCTTCTCGCGGAACAACAGCAATTTTATCCGTACGAGCGACTGGAACAGCTGCGGGCGGTTCGCGTCGAACTCTAAAATTTATAGGTCAACATCTAATTCATTATACCAAGTATTCTCACCGTGATGGACCTGCGAGCTGTCGATCACTAAATTGAAAGTCAAGGCCCAATCCCACACGACGATTGCTATGGTCCTTGGACTAAACTGACGAATATGTATATACAAAAGTGAGATATGGATCAGAAACCAACCTTATGCAAATTCAAATCTAGCTGATTAGAGAAGGCAATACCCATGGCCCTGCATTCTTCGAATTCGCAAAGAAAATGCTGATCTTTATAATGGGCAAGAAGCTCAGCATGGTTCCTGGAAAGTGCTAGGTAAATTGCTTTCTCAAATGCAGAGCTCGACTGACTTGAAGAAAACATTCATATGTTTTCCCTCCGTTTCACAAAACTGGCAAAAGAAGTGTTCCTTGCGAAGATGTTTGTACCTAAACTCTTCGTCGAAAAATCGTTGTTCGCAAAATAAGCACGATGGATGACCTGAAAAGAGGTGAACAGGTAGCTTGCGGTGACAGCGTGGTCATGGAAATTAAACTGCGCTAAACTTTATGCACTGCCCAATGGAAAATGAAGCGGATCAGAGTAGCATTAGGAGGAAAACGGGGAAAATTATTGAGCAATATGAACAAAGAAGGCAGAAGAAAAAGCTCAAAGAGACTGACAAACAAACCTTTAAGGCTCTTGTCATCTCTATCCCCAGCTCGGATATGTCTCTGGAGTCCGTCGCGGGTATAAGTTTTTCTTTCTCTTAAAAATACGATAGAACTGAATGAAAAAAAGTCCTGTTGAAAGGCGTACCTAGAAAATTGTATGATGTTCTCCGTACATATGTGACAATATGTTAACTGATGTACACTTGACATATGATGTCGTAAAGCCACAAAAGTAGGAAACTCCAATCTTTCGCCGTCGCTGCTAAACAATAAACACTATATACGTGTCGTATAACTGAAAGATATTTAAGTACCTCTTGCACAGCTTGCACACATGGGCAAGGTATTTCTCATATCGAGTAATGGCATCGCCGTTTTCAAACCGCAGTCCATATCTATCCTCATCGGCAAAATTCAAAGATGGAAGAGAAAGCGAATGCTCATCGAGGTTGCTCGAAACGAACATGAAGCACAACTAAAATAGAGTTAAGATAAAAGTGTATTCAAAAACTGAAAATAATTTGAAAAATAGACGAAAAATGGGAAATAGGATATTACAAAAATACCAACCGTGTCCATATTTGTCCTGCAAACCGGACACTGGCGATTATTCGACAGAACTCGTATCCGTATCGCGCATTCCATACACACAGGATGGCGGCATGGACCGACACCAAACAGATCACTTGCTTTACAACAAATTGTACATTCTTCCGTATCTCCCTTGCCAATAACTATGTCCGCAAAGTTGTCCTAAAATTGACTGATTTCAAATTTTCCTGAGAAACACATCGTCACTGTACAATACCTTAGCAGCATCAATCATAGTTTTGTAGTTCTGCATGTTCACATTCCTATACTGCAGATTCTGCCCTCGCTCTTCGCGGCTCAAATGCGCATCTCTTGAAGAACCGTCTGAAAACAAATCGTCTACGAGGTGGCAGAAAGATCATTCATTCTGTTCTAGCGTTTTTTTTTTCAAGATTCCTGCTTGCCTACAACGTTTGAAAAAATAGTCACTGAGCGCGTTTTTGACGTGTACCAAGGCCAATTTACGTGCCAGTGTTGCCGAGATGTGAGAACATTTGTTGATCGTCGGATTCACTGATATAGGCATATATTTCACTATTTACGCACTACCAAAATAACAATCCCCTGAGGACCTTGCTTGCAGAGAGGTTATGAATCAGAGCGTATAATATTAAAACAACATCCGAAGGACCGTGCTTGAAGCAGCATGCCTTACAAGGGAAGCATGTTTAGTCAAAGCGGCCTTTTTAGAGGGGATGTATAGCGTATTGAAGAGCATAAAATGCTGATTCCAAATCTGCCTTCCTTATCTGCAGAACATTTACGGGCGTTTGAGGAGTTAGGAGTTATGAGCGCTTATGGAGCGAAAAACTGGTTGTGCAAGTAGGACAAAAATAGCCGTAACACTTCTAGCTCTTCATGGAGCAGTGATAACCACCAGAACAAATTCAAAAAATACTCTAAAATAAAAAATATATCACACTTGGGTGCATTATTTGAGAAGTAAGATTTTAGCAACTCATTTTCAAAATGCACATTCAATTTTTCGCTCCAAAAAATGCACATAACTCCTCATAAACATTCTGCAGATAAGGGAGGCAGATTTGGAGTCAGCATTTCATGCCCTTCTATATGGTATACATTCCATTAAAAAAGGCCACTTCGACTAAACAAGCTTCTCTTGTTAGAAGCAATATCATTAGAGAAATTTCCAAACTTATTAAACTTTCCTTTACATCACATCTGATAAAAGGCGGGATATGATTCATCATTCAGGATCAATCGATTAAGGATCAATCAGAGGGGACAGTAAGCGTCTACATATAATTTGCCTTATAAAGACCATGGTTTTTTGGCGCACACCGCTGTAGACTGAAAAATTCTATAATCTTGAGATCTACTGGAGCTTTTTGAAGACCATTTTCTACTAGTCGCAGAGTCAACTTCTAACTTTGCAACCATCAGCGGAAGAAAATTCAAAACAGAACTAGAAAGCTGATCGATAACGAGGCTAGCAAGACAAAAAAACGCCTTGGGCACCTGAATTCCCTGATTTGGCAGCGGGTTTCTTAGCTTGGACACGCCTGTTCACATAATTGTTTCTGCGACGGTTATCCCCATTTGCAGCATTCGAAGCAGACATTGTTTGGTTGCGGCCCTGAAATCACAATCTGAACAAATGGGATGCTGAGGGGTGATTGAGATAGCAACAGTTCACGCATAAAACTTATATGATACTTCAGGTTCAAAGGAAAACAAGAGTTCAGTTCATTTTCTGGAAAATCCACGCTAGTTGCACAACATGTCTCAAATCTACCGTATGCCGCAGTTTTCGTTTTAGAGCGCTATATTCATTTAGCGACATTTGGCGACCCTTTAAACAGATGATTCATTTCGCTTTGTCGCAAGGCTTTCAGATCGTGAGTCAGACCACTTCAGCTTGGGCTCGGAAGCAAACAATTCATGCGAAAGCTTCTCATTGATTCAGGTGAAGAGACTTGGGTAAGATCGGTACATATTGTGGTGAAATCCTCGCAAGATACTGAATCTTCTTCGTGGGCATCATATGAAGAGGTTCCATTGGAGTTTGTTGGGGTTTTCTCTTTTGGCTGCTGCATTCCTAGCCCGAGCAGATAGCTGTTAAATTTTTATTGGGCTGTAAATTCAACATCATCATTGTTCATGATTCTCACGATAGAGGTGCGACGCGCACTTCTGCAGCTTTGTTCTGATGGTCTATTCTATTGAACTAATGTGAAGATCAAGTATCCTATGGAGTTTATAATTCATTCTGAGAAGTAGACTCGAAACCGCTTCGCACATTCTACAAATTCAGAATTGTTCTTTCTTGCTCCAAGGCAAATGATACCAAAGATAAACTTGTTAACCACACAATCAAGTTTGTTTTGAGAGTGTGTGCGAAGCGGTTTCGAGTCTTTTAGTCACAGAATGAATGATATTTATCTCATTATTTTCTAGTATTCTTGTTTGTGATCATTTCTCATAATCTGCCTATCGTTTTCAACCAGTGCTTGGAAGTTTTTCCATTTTGCTGCCGTACTAACCCAGACTTGCTTCTCCATTGTTCAGAAGGTCGCATTCTATTTACCTTTGGCTCGTTTACAAAACCAGAAGGCGGCAGTGTGGCATCGCAATGTGGGCTGTTTGTATCTAGGCGGATCGATTCCGCGCGCTGGAGGCTGAATCGTATTTTCCTCCCTCGCGTCCCTCAGTTTCGTGCAAAAAGATGACGTAAATGAGTCAATCCGTATTACTTCAAGGACTGCATCTTTAGCGTTGTGATGTCAGCAGCTGCTATGTTGAAATCTCCAGTTTACGTCCGATCCCTCACCCCTCAAAGTGGGTATCCGCGCTCGAATTTTTGCAAAACATCTTGATAAGTATCACTATTTGTGTATCGGATGTTTCAGAACTAGACAAGCAAACAAAATGCAAATCGACCACTTGAGATAATTGCTTTGACCTTGCCGAATTACGTTATCGCACCTACGCTATGGTTGCGCATCAGAACAGTGTGACTCATTGTGAGCACTCAACTCTTCAGCAAACACTCATCCACTCTCATCTGTAATTTTGCACGGAGATCCCTATCTACTTCTTTTATCACTTACTCGGTGCCGGTTTCGCCATCGCTGCTTATTTTTGCTTCCAGTCCATGCTTATTTCTTACTCTTTTCCATTCTATCCAATCATCTTTTGTAAAGATGATTTTTTTTATTGTTGCTACAGTTGTTTCTTATTCTCCTATCCTGGCCTTAGATAAGTTCCTTCTGGTACTGTCCTACTTTACACACCCAAAAATGGGAGATTTTATAGTTCAGAAAATTTGCGCAAGGAGATAATTTGATATGCTGATCACGATGAACACATAATGCTTCAACGTAAAGCTTCACTGAGATTTAGGGTGGGGCTTCATACCATATATCCATCGTAACCATTATAAGGCACTATCTTGAATAACTGAGACGTTATTCTTTCTCAGCATCAGCATGTCGGACGCTATATGCAGACTTGCAAAAACTCGTTGATTTTGAGCACACCTATGTCCACACTAATCCCGTAGAAAGGCTGCGGAATGAATAAAAATCATTGTCGTGATCAGCATGTCAAACTAGTTAGCTAAAGTTTCAACGAAGTCTGACGTGTTGCGTTTGATGTCTCTTTTTTTTTTATTCTGCTGTCAAAAGGAATCGGGTTTTTGAGGTCTTCATTCTCTGATTACGACGCTTAGGAGATCTACAAAATCGTGTATAACTAGGACGTCTATTTTGTCTCATTCACTTTTTTACTTGAAATGAAAGAAGAACAGGTAAAAGCTCGGAACGATGCGTGTTCAGTGTCTCGAACTCCTGTGAACGATAAGAACGAAAGTATCGTACGACGTTGGGAATGAAAATTTCATCGATCAGTTCGGCGGGCGCATCGGTTAAATTGGGCCACTTATAGTCCGTTTTGAATGGAGAAGTCCTGTACGCTTACAGCGCAATCTTGTATTGCGCAGTGCGCGTGCAGGACTTCATCTTGAACATGTACGGCTTCTTATGGGTAAAAGAGTCGCAACGAAACCATGCTTCCTAGTTCAACAGGTCAATACTTGTGTCAGCTTCATTTAGCTATGTTAGTACACGACAAAACAAGTTGGAGCTTGTTAAACACAACAGAAAATCACACCTGCAGCTTTTCCTAGTTCATAGTTCCATGGAATCCCAGTCCGTGTTCTTCGGCATGCCCTTTATATGTATTGTTTCTCAATCTTTATCTAATCAGTCTTGGCTAAAGTTACTTTTAAACTTCGATTTTCTATTGGTTCCTCAACATGCAATGGTGCAAATCATTGATTGTATGCTTTACAACGCTCTGCAATGGCAGCACAATGCGTCGATTGAACTAATTATGTTCATCGAATCAGCAATTTAAATCTAAACTCGATTAGAATTTATGCATGGCTTTTTCTGTCACCAAAATAATCAAATTGTTCCGCGTCTTCTTCTTTCACATGTTTTCTAGTCATCCGCAGCGTAATTCTACCCCAAATAGTCAAGGCTGTTGTTGTTTTGTGATTTGCTTTGAAGCCATTCAGCTTCTCTCCGCAACGTAATCTCCATTTCTCTATTAGGTTATCTGAAAAGTAAACCCCTTTTTTAAGCAAGCAAACTTTTTGATTCCCGAGCAGACAAGGGGTACTGTTTTACAGAACAAAGCAGCTTTAGAAAACAACGAGTTAAGGACTACCCAAGTTTAAATTATGTGCAACATTTCAACTGTAGCTAAAATCGGAAAAAATATGATTTCACCTGAAGATCGGATTCTTGCCTCAAAAATCGTACGAAATAAACTTCAAATTGATCGTCATACAATAGGTAAAAGTGGTACCAAAACATCTGCTAAAGTCGTAAGCTGCTCGCCCAGCTCCGTATGTGTAATGGTATACTGCAAGCTTGAGTATAATCTTACAATCAGAATTATACCTCTACCAAGTTTAGCATAAAAAACCCGAAACCCAGTTTTTGTCCCGAAATCCAGCAAATATATGCATGAATACTATTATGTGTACGATACTGTATGGTGACCAAGTTGTAGGTCCGCAATAATTTTCTGGAAGGATATGCGATTTTCCGGGTAGTTGAAAATGTTAGCTTCTGGCTCCACTTTACTAAATTGCTTTCCTTATCGAGTCGTACCCTAAGCTTGCTAGGAAAAAAATATTTTGATCTGTTGGAAAAGGGGTTTACTTTTGATAGAAGCTAGAATTTCCCTCTCGTTCACTGAACTCTATGATTTGCATGAATACGCATGTCCGGTCTAGAAGACGCATCGAATCATTGTCCATTTTTGTTTTGTATCGATTACTTTTGCGCATTTATTCATTCGCTGCTACAATTACTTCTATCCAAATGTATTATACATTGGTTACATGTAGATTAATGTACGTGTAGTTTCCGAGTTGTGGCTGCTTGTGTTCTTATATACATCAATGTCACATTTTTGTGAAATGAGGGAAACACAGGACATGCATGTCGTGCCCCATTTTCTCTCTTTGTTCGTTCTCAAGCTTCGAATTCCTCAAGTAGTACAATACTTAGAAATTACTATCGTAACTGAACAAACGAAGTCATTTGTAAACGCAGTGCATTCTCCAATGACGTACCTTTTCCGATTTGTTTCATTGTGTTGTGTCACTGTGATTGATGGGTTCTGTCATGATCCTTCCCCATCCTTTCATTTTATTGGAAGTCAATATATCATCGTCATACATTGAAACATCCTAACATGATGTGATATTTTCAAACACTAGTTTTTAACAGATCATAATCTCGACAACATCTTAATAAGCCCTTTTTTGTGACCTGTTTTGTAGTAATAATTGGAATGTAGCGATCGATATTTCCTAGTCTTATCTGACAGTCAAAATATCAGCAGTTTTGTTGCTGACAAGCTCCTTGGCAACAAGCTAATGTGAATGAGTTTCTTTATCGTTCCCGATTCTGTCTTGCATCTGTGCCATTCACAATAACTCAAGTGTATACTCATATATCAGTTGCGGTAATTTTTACAAGGGGGGGGAGGGGAGGAGGCAGGATTTTCCTCCTTGTTGAGTGGTAGGGGGCGTTGAGCCAAACATGTACATTGCACGTACTATCACAGCGTCATGTAATCGCAGAAAATTCCAAAAAATGGATAAATTCTGGAATGGACAAGCGTCTTCTTTGCTGGGACTAGATCCCCAAATCTCTTACTTTCTAAAATCTTAGTTGGTCTCATCCTTGTCTCGGTATACCTACCATGATTTTGCTGTACAGTACCGCGAGCCAATAGAGGTTCTTTTAGGATGTCACTGAACAAAACTTCCATAAGGTTCACGTAAATTTGCGAAGTTACACCTATCAAGGCGCTATCCCCGTATCTAACCAAATTTCATAGCCATGTATTCCAAAACTTGTTACGGCGATATCCAATCACGAATATCGTATTCTTTTTGCATGGCAGAACCTTGTCATTAGTTACGGTAGCATTACGGTAAGGGGACCATCATAAGCCTTCCTGAGATTAGGCCTTAGTTTTTATCGTACACGAGGATGTTCACCCGTCTGCTGTAAGTACGCCTCATTGTGATCTAGGCCTGCTGTATGAGGTCCTTACCACGAATTAGATTATAAGATTTCGCAAATCTTCAAATTCGTATAATCTCTTTTTCAACTTATTAATTTATTCCACTCATCCCAAAGGTTTTCTGCAGAGCCGCGCATCTCTTTTGATGGTGTATAAGCCAACACAGTTTTCACCCCTTGTGATCACGGCCCCACACCCTTCGCCTACCGTAACTCTCTATTAAGCCAATAAGGAGTTCAAGAATAACGTCTCATTTGCTTACTTATGCTATAAAAGATTCCTTTTATATCATCTTGAGTTACGTATCGTGTTTTTGTGGTTTGCTGATTATGACACCTTGCTAAGATTTTTCAGAATCTCGGGCAGTGTATTGTACAAGATTCATTTCCCATGTGGAAAGCCTAGCCAGGGATTAGATCTCCCTATCCCTGCTATACTTAGGAAACAAAATGGCTACTTCTTCAATAGATCATGCCAACAAGCAAGAGCTTGAAGGAAACAAAATGGTTACTTCTTCAATAGATCATGCCGACGAGCAAGAGCGTAAAGGAAACAAAATGGCTACTTCTTCAATAAATCATGCCGACGAGCAAGAGCGTGATTCCGCTCCTGGACCTTTAGGATGTGGGTTGATTTTCCATATTCACTATTCTTGTCTCTGCAAACGCTAGTGAGTCCCATATGCGTCGCGACTTAGTACCGTATGTATCAGATTATCCCATTAGTTCCGTCCGATCTAACTTCCAGTCGCAATAAGTCATGGACGTCTAAATTCTAGATTGGTTTCAAGGTACCATTTGATAGAGCAAAGCAAGTCATACAGGATGGTGCTCTTGCTTTCGCACCAGTTCGAATCCTTTTCGTGATTGAAGACAAAAACTAGAAAGATCCAACCTCCAGAAAAAAATCGTAACTCCGTCCAGAAAAATCCTAGAAAATTCCTAACTTACTCTTAGATACAGTATCCACATCAGACATCTATTTATTCTGTTGCTGTATTTCTTCCTTGGATAGAAATCGAGAAAACGAAAATTTTCATGTTTTTGCCGAAGTGGTGCTGTGCTGTTCCCACATTGGTGGTGGTTATATAATACAGACTAATGAACGTACGGACGTGAATTCTCAGCTCTCTACAGGCTTTAGTTCTCGAGAAATTTACGTTTTAGTATGACGCACCCGACTAAGCGAGGCTAAATTCGATGTTTCTCGAGAACCAAAGCCTGTAAAGAACTGAAGATTTACCTCCGTACGTTCATTGGTCTGTAGTATGCAACTACCATTGTGGGAACAGCACGGCGAAAAGCAGGCGGCCCTGAGTCTGCTATCCTTGAAATGACTACACCATAAGGGACCCGTCATACTTCGCCCAAAAAAGCCCAAAAAAGCCCAAAAGCTCCCGGAAAAAGCCGGAACACTTCTCGCACGTTTTGGCGCTAAGACATGCGTATTGACTTTGCAATCGAGCCTTTTTGTCATTTTCTGTCGTCCGCATGATAAGATAATGTCAGAATTCTACCAAAAGTTCGTTTCTACATTCCGGCTCTTTCTGGCGCTTTCGGGCTTTTTTGGGCTTTTTGGGCCTTTTTGGGCTTCTTTGGGCGATTTTTGGGTTTTTTTTTGGGCTTTTTCGGGTTTTTTTCGGCGCTTTTGGGTTTTTTTCGGCGAAGTATGACGGGTCTCTAATTTTCTTACGGCATTCATTTCTTCGAATTGTCAAGCAGATGGTTATGCATGCAGTTTTGGTACTCATGTAGTGGAAATGTAGCAATGACTGTTCGCAATTGTCTACAGTGAGCATCAGAATGAACACGTTTAGGTAAATATGACGACTCTCTGACGGAACTGCGCATTCATCTCGTTATCCCTGGAATTCGGGAAAAGTCTTTCATGAAGGCCTCAAACACTCAGGTTTTTCTGAAAAGTGACTGCACGTAAGTTCTAGTATCTTAGTGTATACTTCGCACGTTGCTATCGCATTCTTGACATCGATTACTACTATTTTGAATTTTAGCAGCCTGAGTTGTCATGTGGAAATAATCAAAGTCAATAAGAAAGTGAAGCCTCCGATGAAGACGGTTATTGATAGGCGATATTATGAGGTATGCATCTATTTTATATAATTTTCTCATCACTGATTTCTTCTTTTCTTGAAACTTGTCGCTATTTAATGATTCTGTGCTACCGCTTCTGGATGAATTTGGGCAAAACTTGAGTCGAATCATTTGTGTTTTCACTACCCCTTTTCTTTTCCACTTTCTGTAGGCAGCGAGAGGCTGCTTTTTTGGCCTTTTTACTGTGTCTCTGTTGTCAACAATGCACAGAAAATGCTATTCTTGAACGTTGCAGGTTGAGAAATTCCCTGGTGAAATATCTGAAGTCTCCTTTCGACTGAAGAAGAACTGCTGCATTCTACTTATTCGTAAAAAGGTACCTCAGTCTTGGGCGAATTTCATGAGCCAGTCTGGTTTTTGAAAGTCTCAATTCTGTGTAAATAATTTTCTTTTCAATAATATACATCAGTCTATGGTTCATTTTTGATAATACTTTATCTGTGCGCATTACCTGCAAATGCTCACTTTTGATATCATAACTTGTTTGATTTGTCATCAAAGCTCGAGTGTGCTGTGTCAAATCTGCTGTTGATTCTCTTCTTACAACATGTTCCCGCATCTCCATGTTCAAGTGCTTGGACTGTTTGCTTGTTCCGTCGAATATGATTTTGTTTTTGTTATAAATATAATAGTTCCTGGTTGCAAAGTCTTTTGTGTGTAAGGGATCAGCGAGCACATTTAAAGGCGAAATGCTTTTCGATCTCAGCGGTAAAAGCACAGTGGCCATCAAAAGTTTTTAGCTAAACTCAACGCATCTACAAAGGAACTTGGTAGTGTTACTCGCCGTAAACTGTGAAAACAAATGACTGCAGTGATTTGAGCGCTCTAGGCATCAAAATCGCAACATCATGAAATAAGGTCAGGATATGTAATTAGTTTAACATTAGATAAGGCTTGAAACAAGTGAACAGTAAAGGTTCAAGGGAAGATCCTGGCGCAGTCAGCCAAGTCGGAGCAAAGGCAATGATTTCCGAAGATGGAGGTTCCTATGTTGATTGGGCGATCTGATGGGCCGTGCTGCTCTTCCGTCCATAGCAGATGGTTCTCAATGTCGCTTGAAGCTTGCGTGGTAAGTCCCAGCTAGCATCTTGAAAAGCTCTTTTATGGCGAGACGACCGGCTAGATGGCAGTACATCGCCAGCAGACTGCGCCATCGCCTTGCCCTCTCCTGCGGACGTATCCTCTGGGCGTTGAATCGAGCAAACTCTATTAGAGACTACACTGTCGTCAAAGGCAGCGCACAGGAGAACTGAGCAATTTGGACCGCAAGGGAAACTGTTTTTGACGAGATATAAGCTGCTGAAGCGGTTATGCAGATGGTGCACCTATGAAAAGTTAATTCACCTCCAAATCACACCTCGCCACAGTACTTGATCCGACAATCCGAGAAAATTTTCTCATGACAGAGGTGCATGCAAAGAGTTCAGATAAGGTTGCCACGTCCATGAGAAAACATTTCCACCTTATCTTCAATTACAAATATGGGCAGGTTATTTGTATTTAATCCGTGGTTTAGTCATGTACTTGAAAAATTGCGCTACCCATTTAGAAGGGGGTAGGGACAATGGGGAAACAAGGGACGGTCGTGCTAACGCTTTCTTCTGAACCGTGGTCCAACTGCAAATCCCTGCTAATCCAATAATTTTCCATGCTTGTTATCAAGTCCAAAATGAGTGTTTTAAAATCTCTCCGTGATTATTTGACGCTGCTTGTTTTTATTATAATAGCTCCATGGCCTGAGAAAGGACATTTCATTGCTGAGAAATTTGGTAAGGTTAAGAGCGAGCGAGCTAATTGCTTTAGACACCAAATTCCGAGAGCCGTAAAACCTCACGGCGATTCACTACTTCATTTGGCAACCTCATAGAGCCGATTGCAGAACATCCGATCAAAATTTGATCAAATATCTCTGAGTTTGCTTATACCCTTGGTAGCTGTCTTGAAGGTTTTCTGTCCTAATGTGGGATATGTTAAACTTGTTTTTCCGGCATCTGCGCTGGAGTTTTGCTGTCCATGCCGAGCCAAAAGATCATGACTTGATATTAGTGTATCATATCTGCAGAGCAGGGCAACTACGACTCGTGAACTGAGCCAAAGAATTTTTAGAAGCCAAAGGGCGTTCCAGAGTGAGGTCGATTCCAAGCTAACCTTGGTATCAGGGCACGGCACAGGTGGCTTAGCAAGCAAGCTGGATATCGTTTTTGGGGAAAAAGCAAAGGGGATATCGTTTTTGCGGAAGAGCATAACGTTGTCTTTCGACCTGCGGCCGGCACGCTGCCGGCATGCCGCTAGCAAATAAACAAAAGGTTTGTTTACAGCGAAGTGAGGATGAAATGACACCAAAATAGGTGTGTAGATGGACAATGGGGAGTTAGAACTAAGTATGAAAGTTTATGAAAAAATTATGTGAACTTAAGGCGTGCTCAACTTTTTTCGGAGTTAGGTGGCTTTCAAGCATACCTTCGATAGTCTAGAGACAGGGCGCCAAAAGTGAAGGTTGTTTGAACATCTGACGTCACAAATGGTGAAGGTTGTTCAAAGAAGATCAGAGAAGAGAATATGACGTAAAACAGACATAAAAAGCAAAAGAAACGGCTGTAAACCGGATGAAAAAGCTGCAATAAGATTTGAAATCTTTCATTTGGCGGCTTTACAGAGTGCAAGTTTTCGCTCCAGGACCAGCAATTCGCAACACGGGGTTTTGATTTTTGATGCGTCCTTTAAATTTTTACCCCCGCGCCGTCCCTCTTGTACCCTGCGACGTTGTCTGGATTCTTCCGCTCATCATTCTGAGCAAGTATCGTCCGAGCTGGAGAAAATTCGTTGCGAAACTACTGTAAAAGAATAAGGTAAAGAAAAACGCATTTTTTAGTAATTTTCACAAAAAAAGCGGCATAAGCAAAGAAATAAGCTCGGCGACGTTGTCTACATTATAGACAGAAACAAGACCTATCGACTACACAAAAGAACTGCGTGAAAAGAGTCAAACTAGGAGAAAAACGAGAGATTTTCAAAAACAAGGTTTTTGCCGGATTTCTTGCTTAAATCATAAAAAGGAGTCCTGCGACGTTGTCAGCGTGAAAATAGAGATCAAGAGCTTCAAAATGATAAATAGCTTGATAAAATTGGGTTCGAAACAGCGAAGAAAAGGGTACCAGAGCCAAATGCCCCGCGCCCCGCGCACGGGGTAGCGAGGTAGCGCGCAGCGCGCGGAGACGCAGACGAGCAGCGGAGAGAGACCAGAGCCGGCGGGGCATTTGGCTCTGGTCATTGATCTCCGCGGGGTCATAACGAAACCCTATAATATTATATATCGTTGTGATCCTCATGACACAGCCAGGAGCACTGACAACGTCGCGGGTCTTGAATCTCACTCCATAACGAGATAGACCAGCATTTATGTGGCGACTCTCTGCGCAAGATTTCAGCGCAGTTTTTCGTTTTTGTTGAACTCCAGCGCCTTTCATGAACCTCCAACGCTCAATCGCAGTCTATAGAAAGGTTAACTGATAAGTTTTATCCTAATTTCTAACTGAATTTTTGAAGAAAAACCCTCTTTTCAGCAAAAAAGGCCATGAAAACGCAATCTTTCGGTTTTTTGAGCTTTTCTTTGGATGTCACTACTATATTTGCCTCATTCACATTCATCCTTACATAGTTAGTCATTAGTTATGTCATAATATCCGGGGCTTCGCCCCGGATGACTTGTACTCCTCTCCAGGTGAAGGTTGTGTCCTCTCATGACACTCAAAGTGAAGGTTACCAGAGTACGTGGCTCTATGTATCGAAGGTATGCTTTCAAGCCACCTAGATAGCCACCTGAGGTGGCTTAGGAAAGAAAAAGTCATAAATTTTTCCTCCCTCACATAATTTTTCTACTTTCTTTACATACTTTTCATCTACATCCCAAACCCTACAAACTGGTTCCTGAACCGCCTCAAACCCCCCTCTCCCCGCTTAGTTATAGCCCCTTGAAAAATTTGAATGGCCGCGGAAAGGCTGCTCTAGGCGCGTATAGCTGCACGATGGATACATCATGCCGCCATTCCGGAGAATATGAATATCATCGCATGTGTTCGATGATTCTTTTTCGTTTTTTTCTGCTGTTGCTTTGTTGCGTTCCTTTCTCATGTATCTTCTCTTCGAATATTTCGTAGCGGATATCGTAATTTTATTGAAGTCAAAGGGGACTTCATTTTTTGCAATTCGGGACGCCACCTCGTGCCGAGCCCTGGTCTAGGGTCAAAGGGGACTGCGTAAGAATTCGCAAAAGTCAAGGGGGACTTCGTTTTTTGCATTTTCTACTAGCCACCTCGTGCCGATCCCTGCTTGGTATGACAAAACGAAACTTTTTTTGAGGAGCACTAGAGTTGTAGTTGTTGCTCACTTGCAGAATTAAATAATTGGTGATCAGGCAAAATAAAAAATAATTCTTATTCCAAATTTTTTTTACAGAATGCTGTAAGCATCTATACGGTAAGCTAGCCACGAATGGTTATGTTGTAAAGCGTTTTATGCATTAAAATTAAGACTTGCATAAATCGCTTCATAGATCGCGGATAGCTGGATGATTCGAAGCTTCAAAACGATTCATGCTTAGTCAATAGATATGAATGCACATAGTTTTTTTTTTGAACCACCAAGAACCTTTTTGTTGCCTACTTGTCAGCCGCTTTATCTCAGTTTAGTTTAGAGCTGAGAAAAATGCATAACCATCACCAAGGTCGGGGAGAAAGAAATCGTGGCAGAAAATCGACTTGGAGCACCCCCGTGCCATCATGGACTCAAACAATCGCAAATGACTTCCGGGGAAAACTGCCAGCCTAAGACGGAACCCAATCACACAGTCCGATGTAGAAGTTCAGTTTTCCCGAAGTCTTTGCGATTGTCTGAGGACAGCGTTTCCAAGCGTTTCCTAGCTGTGTTTACGTCAAAGGAGGAATCTTTAAACTGTAAACTCATTTGTATGCAAAAAAACCGTTGAGTAAACATTTTTGTTGATTTCATGTGATCATCTTGCTTAGCTTCGTAACTACGATAGAAATACCGCGTTCAAAGACTTTCCCTCGAGCTAATCTGACGTGCGCACTCCTTTTTTCTGTAGTGTAATTATTTATGTGTGCATTTGAATTGAGCAATATTGACTTGCATGCTGGAGACACGACAATAGAATTTCGGTTGCATAATTTGACGGATACAAATAGGTCAGTTGAAACAAAATTAAACTGTAGGGCAACAACCTAGTCTGAGCAGGATTTTGAGTCTAAAACATTTCCACCAGCATTACATTTGTGACGAAATCGTTCTCTTAGAGAACTTTAGCTCCTATACGACAAGTACTTGGTTCAGAACCGCTAGACAGAACAACAACACATTTGCACGCAAAGCGCAGAAACGAAACCCTGAGGAAATTGAATACTATGCTACCATCGGGAACATGGGCAGACGTCGAGCATCGAGTACCGATTGTCGATTGATGAAATGAACCATTTTCGAGCAATCTGGATGAACAGCACTCCCCATATGATAGACCATACGAAGCCAACGATGAATGGACATGTAATAAACTGAAATGATTGCTATTAAACGGTCATCTATAAGTTTGAATCGTTTGGAGTTCGACAACTGGAAGTTTTACAAAAACAGTGTAATGGAGGACTGTCAAATTGTGCAAAACGTGCGCTTTTTTACCCATAAAAAAGAGGTTTTGTGAGCGGAAAATTCAAAACATTCTCTGAAGTTCCAATCGGAAAAAATGAGAAACAAATCTGCTGAGTTCTCTTGGCGTAGTATACTCCAAAAAAGAATAAAGGTTTTCCTCTTTGAAAATTCGTTGAGGTGGCAAAAGTCACTTCCACATGAATTTCCTGTCATGCATTCCTCGTTCTTCCTTTATGCCAGCATTTTCGGTAAGATTTCAATATTAGTTTCTCCAACAGAGCAAATTTTGCAGATGCTTTCCGCTTCTCTTGCGGAGACTGACATTTACGTTCCATTTCTGCGATATAAGCTTCAGCTCTTGTGATTTAAGCTTTGCACAGTTTGGGCCTTCCCATCTAACAATTCATGATCTCGAACAGCTACGCTGCTGATAGTTGCGGAGAGCAGAAAGTTGATTTGTTCCAGATTCTCGTTTATGAAGGCATACAATTTGAATATGAATATGATAAGCAAAAGAATCAGCTGTTGTAATAGTTAGGAATAAGAAGGCGTGGTACTTTTCCGTTACCTGGACCCATTTCTTCAAAATTACTTATGAAAAACGTGCTTTACCTAGAAATTTTCTTCTCATTCTTGCGAGGACTGCCTTTTTGCCACGTGTCAAGATCAAAAACAAGTTCTAGGCCATTTTGACATGTTCTTTCAAAATCGTTTCCGGTGAGGTACGAATGCATTTAAAGTGCTTTGAAAGCTGCTTAAGGTCTTTTATAAAAGCAAAACAGTCTTAACAGTTATCAAATCATTTTAGCAGCCTTCAGCAATGATCTGAAGAGATCCTGCTCTTCACATTGTTTCCGCTATGCGAATTTGGCGGGGAAAGAATATAAATGATTGCTTGAAGTACCTGTCTGCCGATTGTTTCGTCGTTTTGATGATAGAACAACAGCCCAATTCTATGTTTTGGGAATGCCTAATGTGTTTAACAAACACACAATGTCATTTTCATGATTTCAAAGCTCTTTCGCGAAAATGTTGACTAAAAATGGGGTCATTATTGAAGAAAACAGATTGAACTTGAATTGATAGGTGAGCTAAACAAATTCTTGGTGAAACCTGTTAAACATGTAGAGGACACGTCAGTTTTTTTGGCACGTGACAGGAGGTTGATTCTCCATTCTATGAGGTTTTTACCAAATTTGGTACAAGAAAATAAGCAATATCTTTTCTTTTGTGAAAAATGGGTCCGAATGCGGAAAAGTATCGAAGGCGTTGCAAATATACAGTGATTTTCATCAGTGCTAATAACATGACTGTCAAAGCTGCTGGTAAACGCGTAATCAGCATGCTCACTTACCCCCCTGTGCCAACTCCCAGCCCACTAGCTCAAATTTTGCAAAAAATCGATAAAATCGATATCGATCGATACGAAAAGTAGCCTATGACACCCGCCGGGGCCCGAAGGGTATGTGTGCCAAGTTTGGTCCGGATCGGTCAAGAAATGGAATTTTCTATTCGGAACATACGGCGGAGCCGGGTAAGCCAGCTAGTCTTAAATAATTATCTTGGTTAAAAACAATGCAGCAAACCTGGAATAGAGCAGCCAGAAGATTAGTGCAGAATGAGTCAAACTTCGTCTCACAAGTGGGATCAGAACAGCACCACACAGAAAATGCTGCAATCGTAGTCCCTGGAAATATGAATCTTGCAAAAATATAACTAAATGAGTTTTTCGGATGGCAGGATAAGGCAAATAACACCACTCAGTCATAGACGCATGACATTTTTATGTAAATTTTGGAATAAACTTTTCTATGGTCGGCCAAATGATGAAAAGAAATAAGGAAGAATTAAGTTCGCACACTTAAACGGTGGTGCGGGACTGGACTTATGTTAATAAGCTATTTTGGCGATTGATTTTATGGATTTATTGGTTTCCCGCTTTCTTTGCTCACAATTTTTGTTATGAGTGGCCTAAAATTTTTTGAAAAATTGCAAGATGTATTAGAACTCGGAAACATAAACTTCATGGTGGGACGGATGGCAATGAGCTAATTTCACGATAGGCGTTGATTGCCACATTTAATCCCCCACAAAATGTTCCTCTCTAGAAAAGTCCTGATGTCTTTTATCACCGAATAGTTTCTTTCACTAACCTTTGATGAAACGAAAAATAATGATACCGTGACGCGCTGTATTGTACATCTCGTACACATGATATGAGCTTTTTACATCGGTGAGAGGGAGAGTCAAGTGTTCTCATAACTAAAGCCTGCTTAAAATCTTCATCTCTAGGATAAGTAGATTTTATATATGACAGTTCTATCTCAACTTGATTTCGTTCAGCCTTCCTCAATCAACTCTGACAAGCATAATGTGCTGCTCAAAAAGTTATTTGAGCCGTTTCAATACTTTAGAATCAGGAAATATCGGTATTATTTGTTCTGTGAGGGAATGAGAACAGAACAGCTATTGTTACAAAGCAGATCCTCTAGCTTTGCGAAAGTAGAAAAAAGTTGCGTGGAGTGCATCACACTCTTCGAAACAAGATTTTCTCGTGACTGGCTCATTAATTAGTTTGTGGTGATATGAGTTTTTCTCTTGGAGCTTCCAAATTTCCTAAGAAAAAAAAAACAGATATTGGAGAACAACCTTGCGGTCTCAAATGAACTTGAGAGAAACGTTTTGCTCAAAGTGGAAGCGAAATCATGCATTGGTTTGCCGTAACCTACTCACATGAAGTAATGAATACTCAACTCGAAAGCTGATCTCAAACCTATGCTTGCTGACTGCAAAGCGTTTCTTTGATGGCATTTTTTCGATGACAAAATTGCATTGTTGCAGATGGACGGGGACGGTTTGCTCTATTGTCTTTTCGAAATCAAATGATTTGGTTACATATAATATGTTTTGTCATTCATGATGCTCCGCAGCTCAAAGCAGTCACCTTAGCTAACACTGAATTTGATTATGTAATACCTACCACTGAGAAATTTTCAAAAGAAATGTACTCCTCTAGAAGATCGTTTGGCTTTTGGATATAGATTTAGATTAACGTTTCGAGTTTTCCATACACACCTTATGAGAAAAGGTTATGGTCACCAAAAATACTTTTAATAAATTAAAATACTTTGGTATTCTACTCCAGATGTCTTACCACTGCTGCTCAACGCAGGGAAACGAGCGAGTGTATTTCCACACCATGTAGCTTTCTAGTTCTTCTCACAAGGATTGAACCAGAATTACTACTTTTTCTGCCTTTTCTCTGAGTTTAGCAAAGAATCAAAGACACTGAGAACAGGAACGATCTTCGAGAAGAAAGTGCGTGCGAGAGAAAAGGAAGGAATGCGCAGAGCATATTGCAAATGTTTCAATCTATAAACTGTAAATTTTGTAATTCATTCTTAGGTGGTGATGGGCAACAAAAAGTTGAAATATGGTAAAGTTGCTAATGGGGCGGTATGAAACTCATGAGGTCTTGTATAATTAAATCTAATGCAAGAGAGGACTTAGAAGTTCGGATTTTTGCATTCAACTTTTTGAAATCAGAAATCGAAATGCTATATTACAATAATCTAGCAAATCACGTTGCTATGAAGAAGAGAAGAAAAAAATAATTGTAGAAATTGCTCACCTAAGCCTGGAATGATGAAGTTAAAAAAGCAGCACAGTACCGCCAAACAAAGTGGCATACAAGGGATAGCTCTGCGGAAACGACCAGGAGTCTGAAAACAGTAAATCGTCTGAATCGTAAGTATACATATTGTGGTGTTCCATGAATCTTTTCATATATAAGAAAACGTGCTTGGCTCTAATTTTCAAATTAAATTCTAAGTGAGCTGTTGAATAGAGCAATGCAAGCTGTACGATGACAAGAATTGCAAAAAAAATCAAAATTTCTTGATTGCCCAAAAATTCGGATCTCCGCTCAGTAAAGCCTACGGACCTCTAACCTTGTCAAACATCTACTCTCTACATCTGGTAGTTACATGTACTTGCTGCATCTTTAAATGGCTAGATCTATAAACAAAAATAAATCAAAATTACGAAAAGCCCAAAATATCGTTTTTTTTAAGATTTATGCTAAACTTGGTATTTGTTGAAAACTAAAGCTCACAGAAAGCTGAAGATTTTACGGTCATGCTGTTTATGGGCATAGATTAAATTGTGTAAAACTTTGAACGCCATCTTGTAGATCTTGCTTTGCTCTGTCAAGTTCCCTCAACCCTTTCAAAATTGTAAGAAAAACGGTTTATTGCTGTAAAGAACCAGTCATAAAAAACTTTTGGGAGAACCTAGTAGAAATGTTGAATAGTATCACAGAGATATGTATAATGAGAGTACTATTGCTTAATTGGTACAACGACAATGAAATAAGGTTTTTGGACTGATAGCTTTTTCTACGCTGTGATTAAGTATGATGTTTTCCAGCCAAGGAAATCAGCGACAATAATTTGCATGCTTGACGATTGATTAATCAGAGCTGAATTTTGGCGAAGGCTGGGTTTCACTGATCACATTACATAAATGCCGACCAATTCTGAGGAGGCGACAAATGAAATTGAAATGAAATTGTTAAAGTGAAATTCAGGAGATTTATTGTATCTGAAGAGGACCGAAGTTTTTTGCATAATATTACCTGGGCGAAAATATGTGCAAGTTTTTGAAGTTGGGATAAACTCCCTGGTCAAGGAAAAGAAGAAGCTCACAAAAAAGACAAGAATCGGCTCATAAACATAGGGTTATGAATATGAATAATAAAATAAATCATAATGCCTGTCTTTTCGTGCCTATGAATAAATGAAAATGAAAAATGAATATGGGAAATATTCACGTTTTCTAGAATCTTTACGCTGATTGTAATTTTGAATTGCCATGGCCCACATTATGATCATTGTTCTACATTTAAAGGTTTGAAAATGCAAACTGCATGTCAAAAGCATAATGTCTGTCTTTTCGTCCATTACACTTCTATTTTCAGCCATCGAAAGATATCGAATGCACCGCGCATATTTGTACCATCATTACTCAATGGTTAAGTGGGAAGATGACAGGAGAACCAATTTTTGATAATTAACTATTTCTGAAATGTGGCTCAACACTTTTATGTGGCTTAAGAATTGCGCGGATATCTTAGTTTTTGGGACTCATTCGTGTGGTGTAAGAATCATCAATTTCCAACCTAGTAAAATGCTCCCTTTTGATGACGTAGTGAGGTCAAATCAATCAATCAAACTGACTCACTATAGCATATATTTTTATAAACAAGGATATATTTTTTAAGCAACCCAATCCACTCTAATTATGTACCTGACAGGCTACAGTGCATACTTCTCCATACACAAGCCTGCTTAAATTTTTTTTGCCATTTGCGAATCGAGCGATAAAGGGCATGAATGCCTCTGTCAGACTTTCAGTCATCTAAAAGTTTTTCTTTGAACAGGAAGAGAGTAAATTTATATTTTAACGAATCGCTTCTAGGGTGAGCTAAATGCTAGCACTTCACATATATTAGTGTTACGAAGCTTTTGCAATTTTCAATACTAAACTAGTGCATACTAATCTATTGAAATTGCAAATGATTTCTGTCACACTTTTTTCCTATTCATTCGGGAGGATTAGAGAAGGTCGATTTCAGTTTTCTTGATTCTATCAAATCGAAAATTTCGTATGAAATTGATATTGAAATATTGAAATTCTGAGATCTTTCCAAAGCCTCCGAGATTTCTGAATCAGAATCAAAAGGGTGACAGAAAATAACTCCAAGCTAACAGTGAAAATTTGTAAAATCATTACCTGCACGATCGAGATAGATATCCGTTCTGGGTCTGTTTTTGCTTGCGGTTCCTCTTCGAAATCCATAAAAACTGAGGAATGGAATGAAGGTGGAGGAGCGTAAAAAGGTGAAAAACGCTCCCACACAGACAAAATCCAGTTTATCCAGGGCGTGGTCAAACTGAAAGAAGTTCCAGGTGTTATTGTGCTGGTCTCAGCGACGGAAGTGATGAGGATGAACTAAGAGCAATGTGAGAACAAAAGTTAGTGAAAATATTTTCTTCAATGAGCGGTTAGAAATCTTCAAACTAGCTGAATAGACTGAATGTTTGAGAAAGTAGGATAGAAGTTTCTACACAATTCTAAAATTTGTGATCTGAATGTTGTTAGCATTTAAAAGTCCGTGTGAAAGTAAAATTGAAGCATTCTGGAACTTCTTCCTACTGCAACCTTACTCACGAACCCATTTATGCAAGTTCTTTGGTGTTTACAATTAAACAAAGTCGCGGCTTCATCACTCTTATCTGAACTTCAAAGGATAAGTCGGAAGACAATTAACAAAAGGACATCTAGCCTTCACAGCTGATGATCCTACGCTATCGAAAGCACGTAACATATGCTAGTCTATCTATTTATCATGTACTAATTGCTCGTTGAGTGATGTGTGATCGGATGTGAGCGTTCCAAGATGTAGCAAAATCATGAAAGAATTTTATCCTCGTCGTAAATCCAAAATTAAGGACGTTTTACGTTCTATATGCTTCTGGTTACAATAAAATGCAAATATTAGGTCTTCCGGGAAGTTTCGTTTCATTTTCAAAAATTTGCAACTTTGGGCTATTTCAACAAATTCAGTTGTTTGTAATTTTGTTAGAAAGAATGTTTCACTTTTAAGCTTTTAACTTTCTTCCGAGCTTCTGTTTCATGCTGATTGCAGAAATATAAATGAAAAAGAGCCGTTTAGTTTGAGTTAGGTCTCCAAAAATCTGAGACGCTGCAGGAAACTCTGAAATTGTTAGCGCAAGAGTTTTTTGACCTACTCTTGACCTCGCAACTAAAAAGGTTTGTATTGACGTTTTTGTGAGAAGTTATGATTTACGAGAAATGTAACAAATTATTCGATTTTGGCGTTTTACTAGTAAACTCGAAATTTGTTTTTTTGTTTATTTGTTTATTTGTACTATACACTCAGGATGCACCGAAAAAAAAAAGACAAACAAACATAACATTAGCTCATCCTAGCCACCGACAGATACAAAGATCTGAGGGTTTGCGTACTAGAGGCGCCAGTGGATAACATAAAATCTGGTACAAGTGCACGCGAACGAAGTTTTAGGCCAGAAGTTCATAAGTTTTCACCGAGAACTCCTACAGTATAACCTTTTCACAGTTTTAAAGAGTAGGTCATAAAACTCATGCAATGACGATTTCTTTCTCAGCAACGTTTCAGATTTTGCGGCCAACTCAAAATGATCGAAGCTTCAATGATCTTCTTCATCCAATATTATCTTCGCACCCACTGTTCGAGAGAAACTCGCTAAGACAAAACTACAAATTACATTGTTTCTCCTTTCCAATAAAATTACAGCAAAGCATATCCGTCCAAGCAGCGGAAGTTACGATTTTTCGAAAATGTAGAGACACAACTTTTGAACTGACCTAGATTCTCTGGCTTGAAGCATTAGCTTTGCTGCCTGGCTCGAATTACATAAAGTTGCTATATAATAAGTGCGGTTATTTCAAATATAGTAATGAATTTTGAAACAAATTGAAACGCACGTTCTAATCAAATTTTTTTAAATTTCGTCAATTCTGTCTGTATCAATCTACGGGGTTGATTTGAACCGCTAAATAGCAGTGCAGATCGTTTAAAACCAAAACTAATCTATCTACAATTTTTGTATTAGGTTGTAAGGAATGTCCTGCCAACTCATCTATGCAAGCGGTTGGTTTTGGATGTGTGCTCAGTACGCTATGGCGCCAGCTACCAGATATGCTACTCGATTTGAAATAATTTCAATTTAAGAAAAATGCTTCAAAAAAGGAGAATAATCAGCTGCGCTCATGGTTGCGAAAAGGCACATTTTTCAAATTATAGAGGCGCAAATCTGAAAGGGGCTTTATTTGCAAGTCCGTTTAATATATTTCACATTGGTTAGATGAAGCAAAATCCAACTATTTCTTGCTCCAGTCCTCGGACCTTTTTCCCCACAAAACAGCTCACTAACTTCAGCGTTCAGAAACGAATATTAGTACAATATTATTAGTACACACGAAAAAGATAGCATTGATTCCAGCCACTCGTTACGAATATATATGACTTTTATTGGCAGAACTTTTTAAAGTGTGACTGGTTGTTCAAGAGCGGTGTTTGCCTTATTGTATACATAATATACCATGTTTCCTATAAACGAAAAGTCCAAATTGTGATCGATGCATTAGGCCCTTATTGTCCACTTGAAGTTTTTCAACTCCTGGTTTTTCTTTCTTTTACGAACCAATTTCCCGTTTTAGGGTATACGGCTTGAATACGAGATTATAATGTTTCATCCTTACCGCGCCCGAATTTTCCATTATCACTTTAGAGATTACGCTGCTGAGTGTGACGATGATATCAAAAAAGTTTTATTCAAATTATACAAGTGACCAGATGAACTTGAATACTTTCAAGTAATAGTGAATGGTTTGGAGTTTTTATGAGGGCAGCAAAAATAACCATGACCTTCAATTGGCAGCGAGTGGTAAAAGACCTGCATAGCAAGCTGTCTGTTGGGCCACCTAAGATTTTGTTTTTGTTTTTTCGACGAAGCTTAAGTGGGTACTAAAACTTGCAGAACATCGTCTAGAAAGAGATCCAAGGGGCACACGGCTTCGTTTCTAGACGTGTCATCAAAGGTCAAATTCATGAGTCTCAATTTCGTCACCCAAAATCTCACAAATGATTCTTGTTTGCAAGGATCGTAACTTCCGTTGTGATTTTAGCGGAAAATTTCCACTTCTTCTTATACACTTCAAAACTTTTGATCTCTCAATTTGCGAAGTTGAGCGGATGACATTAAACGAAAATATTCGATCAATCAGACGAGCACTCTTTTTCATCATTCTAGCACTATATCGTTTGTGCGGTTAGTTTACAGAGTAAAAAGGTCCAATCAAATTATCTTGCTGTTGTGTCGCAAAAATTCAAACAGACGTATTTATGTTTGATGCAAGCTTTTCTTGAGCGAATTAGGTCTTTTCCAGAACATCCTTCATAGTGCATTACACAGAAGTTTTTTGTTTCTTGATCCGACAAGGACATGCAGGATGTTTCAAAAAAATGTCATCACAGTTGAGTCGCTAATATCTCTCTTGCACTGAGTCAACTAGTCTTCAGGAGCGGTATGTATCAATCGCCTGTCCGGGCAAGTTACCCGGACAGGTAATTTCGCTTCATAGCTCGGTGCTCTGGGGATCGTTCTCTTGTTTGTTCATCTTTTGGAGGCTCTACTACCCTAATATTGTAGCACCATGAGTAGCAACACTTTGCTGCATAAGCTGAAATAATTCGTTACCTGTATGATCCCGAACGGGATCTCCCACTGATCACGCTCACTTTCAAAGTTATTTATATCTGCAAAAACTCAAAGGAAATGTCACAGAATTTTGCTGTCGATTTATTACGACAGTGCTACGCATCTTTGTGAAGGAAATAAGTGAAAAATCAAGTTGACAAAATCTTCGATGATTCTGTGCTAGCGAGTTGGGCTTTATCGAAAAACTCAAAACTTGCACATTTCATCTGTGCTACTTCTTACTCAGACAATTGGCGTATATATATTCAAAAATAAGCATACGCCAACGTGCGCCTTTTTTTGGAAGCAAAGCCAAATACACCTAGAAACAGCGAAGTTCTTAGAGAACCTATCACACCATCTAAACTGCTCTAGAATCCCATACAGGATATTCGCAAAACGCCATGATTCTAGAAATTCTTACTGTAATCCTATAAAAACAAAGTGTAACCGCTTCGTTTTTCAGTATAGACTAGATTTGAGTTGAAGCAAGCTTAACGCAGGGCAGAGAGGTATTTCAGATCAAACAGTAGGGGCATTTTTTGAGGAGCCCTGTATTTTTTCACTAGCGCGTGACGTTACAGCAGTGCTTACAGTCAAAAAAAGTGTGGATTCTTGTGACGTGCCAGACCAGACCCGAGATCAATCTCATCAGAAATTTCATGAAATTACGACCAAAAACGCACTTCTTACGATAAGCACAAGTTTTTCGAGTTTTGAAAAGTCGATGTTAACAAATTTCTTCCTCATGTATGACATGGGTTCGAATTTTGAATAGTTCGCAGGAACTTGAATATGAAAAGTTACAAGATTTACAAATAGACTAAAAATGGGAGTTAAACACAGTGAAGTCTTGATAGTTATAAAATGGATACGAATAATTTAGAAATTAGAGCATGAATTCAAGAGTGCGATTCGATGAGGATGGGTACAAAGCGGTGAGGCGTTCGCTGCTCTCTTGATTGTTTGACGAGCTATAAGTGCCCTCGACTTCGAGTCCTCGACTTGCTTTATTGCGATACTGATCACGTCTGAGTATCAGAAATTCGAGCTTCATACTTGTTGGATGATAATAAAGGTGCAGGATTATGTGTAAAGAAAACTGTCATTGACTTGAGTTATGTGGAATACGTGGGATACTTGGTCAAACAGTGCTACATTGAAGGCAGAAAAAGGAACTCTCAAAGTTTTCCTTATAGAGGTCGCTTCAGGGTTATCACTGTTGCATTTTAAAGGGAACTAACTAAAAATAAGTCGTCTTCCGACGTTAGCACAAGTGCTTCATCCGCGGCCAAAAACCACATCCTGTTTCAATTCTGCGCCATTACCACTATCTAGCGCGCGACTTATGGCTGGGTTCAGACCTATTCGTAAGATCCGGAATAGTTCCAGCACCTCCGGAACTTACGAATCAGTATGAACCCAGCCTATGTCTTTGAGCGATTTCGCTCCGGGAAGGCCGCACACATGATTGGTCGTCGTCAAATAGTTGAAACGGAAAAACAATGACAAATTCTTCACAATTTTTTCTTGTAGAGGCCGCCTGCAAATCATTACTGCTGCATTTTAGGGGGATGCTAATGATCACAAACTTGTATGCTTAAAAATAATGGTCCTGAAGATCCTGAAGATTTACTTACAATGAAACGATACTCGATGTCTGTGGCCTTTTGAGGTAAACTTATACCATCACATTAGTCTTGGAAAGCTGATTCCGAATTTGACTTCCGTTTCTGCTAATCGTCCTCTAGAAGAAGTTATGAAGGATTTTCGCGCCAATGTGGTCGCCCAAGAGAGATACGGTCGAGGATGCCTAACTTTCAAAAAGAAGCTTGATTGAGGCAATAAAAACAAAGGACTCGAGCCTAAGGCCTAAGGCATACCTAACGCGATTCGGCCAAATCGCCGCTTTCAAGCGACTTGGCGATTCGCCAGATTTCTGCAGGTTTATCGTGCGCGCTTCTCGAACGCATAGGCGGGTAGCTTGTGTAAGTTGCTGCAAATGGGTCAAGTCCTAACCAAAGGAAGCGCATTAACGACGAATTACAAAGAGTCGCTGTTATGCCAAATCGCCCAGCGACCAGAATCGCGCGAGGTATGCCTTAGGCCTAAAGCGCTGCATTAAAGGCAGCGTCCAGGCAAATCTGGGCCTATGAGGATCTCACTTGGAGGGTAATCTTGCAGCCCCATCTAAAATACTGCCTAAGTGGCAGCTCGAAGAGTGAGCTCACAGTTGAGATATTCGCCTCCAAACTGGATCCCGGGGTCGTATTCGCATGGATTCATGGCGCGACACATCAAGGATCCAGGCATGTCGCGCCATGAATCCATGCGAATACGATCCCGGGGTCCAGTATGGAGGCGAATATCTCAGCTGTGAGTTCACCATTTGAGCTGCCGCTCGGGCAGTGTCTTGATTAGGGCCCAAAATTACTTTCCACATTGGAACCCCGTAAGTTCAGATTTGCCTGGACGCTGCCTTTAACTTGCGAGGCTATCGCACTGCCACTACACAACATCTTAGCAATGGTTTTGGCATTGCAACCATGTCTCCTTTGGCGCGAAAATCCTTCATAACTTTTTTCCGAGAAACGATTAGCAAAGACGGAAGCAAGATTCGGAATCAGCGCTCCAAGACAAGTGTAATGGTATACATCTCATCTCAAAATTCCTGTTAGAGAGAGGGGGCCTAATCTCGTTATTGCTCATGGCAGACTACCGCGGAGGAGACTGGCTTGATGGAGGAGAAGAGCTGTGCAAAAGAAAAGTAAGAATGCGATGACCGATAATTATACCGCACTATGCTCAAGTGCCAAAAAATGAACCGCTTTTTTATTCCATGAGTGAAGTCACAATAAACATGTTTCCATCTTCAGTGGTATTGTTCATTTTTGATGACGAATGGCGTTAGAAGATGCGTTTGGCAAAATCTATCTGAATCCGACATCTGTGGGTGAATCACGCTACTTGTCCTCTCAATGATGCTCCACTTTCAAGGTGTCATTCACGCAAACACCGCGGAGGCAAACTTCGTTTTTGACTATCACAAATTACTCTGACGAAACAGTGATTTATAAGATGAAGAGCAGCGCCCAAGTACATTCAAGATGAGCCCCGTTTATGGTTTATTAGAACCACGAAAAGAAGTAAAGATATCACTGTCGACGAATATTCGCGAAAAACGTGGGTTTCAGACTGACGTTCGTCTTACATTCAAAGGAACCCGTGAAGGATCAACTCTAGAAAATGAGAGGTAGTTGCAGATTACAACAAAAAATCATAACGTTGCCCTTGTCATCCCATATCTTCGGATTTTTGACAAACGCCAATAGTCATTCATCCCAACTTCCTCATGTATGGATCAGCGCACCATCTCTCCCTCGTTGGTTGCCACCGCTGATCGCTAATTCTGCCCAAGCTTACCCTTTCTCATCCTTGATTGATTACTGTGTTGAGCTTCTAACGAAAGATGAAAGCTTATTGTACGTCTTACCTTCCAGCTGGTTGAATACACGGTGAACCAGTGACCATGCGTCCCCTGTTATTCTCGAGAAAAACGATCATGATGTGACCGGCGCTTCAGTGTTTCTATTTCACAAACAGTTTTGCTAGTCGAAAGGGAAACTCTTCTTATAATTGTATAGCGGAATTCGACAAGATGTTGAGTGTGAGAGGCAAATTTTGGAAGACGCATGAATGTTTTGTGGTGGCCGTGAGGGGCTTGCGTGCTGTTTTAGTCTTGAATGTGTTCCGGTCTTCCTGCGCAAGGCCTCGTTCATACCTCGCGGATGCGAAAAATCGCTAAAGTTGGCAACTTGATAGATGTCGGTAATCCACCGTGCACAAATCCTGAATGCACAGGCGCACAATATAAGATACGCAAGTGTGTCGAATCTTACTTACCGAGCATGCGCTTAGAGTTGAGCCAGACTTCGCGGCGTACGCGGCGTACGCAGCGTACGCCGCGTTCGCTCCTATGATGAAATATACCGAGCGTACGCTGCGTACGTCACGTACGCCCGTACGCGGCGCACTCTGGCTCAACCCTTACGAAGAATTATGAGCCGTTGTGGCATCGAATGCTGCGGCGACCGAGCGAGGGTATGGTCCTAACAGAGCGCTAAGAGAACGGTTGAATTAAGAAGCTGAGTTAAAAATGTTGACTTCGAGTCATTTAGTTAGTCGATGATTTCGATGACACGTAAGAGCTCAGACCGCTCTCTCCTAATAATTAATTTTCCAACAATGCGTTCTTTGGCGAAACCGTGCTTCCCTACTGGGCCTCTTCCTGACTGGATGTCGGAAAGCGATGGAATACGTTATTTATATCTATTATTACACAGGGAGAACCTCCACGTGACAATCACAAACCCGTACAAACAAAATGTGCCAAAAGGCTCAACATAGCAACAGAAACTTCCCTACACAACCAAAAGAAGAACAATATCTGATCATGAGCAAAGAGACAAAGAAACAGATAAAAGCTACTCCAAGACGAAGGCGGTTGCCCATGTACGCGAGGCGTTAGCGTGCGTACGAGCTCCAATGATGAAAGATGCTCAAACACGGTCGGCGGTCGCAGCCGCTTCGCGTACTAAACCGACCGCCTTCGTCATGGAAGAGCTTTTATTTCTTGAAGACAGTGGATCGGCAGAATGAGACCCATGGCAAAACAAGGTCACAGGGTAGGAGCCCCCATAGTGGAACCTATCGGCCAAAGTCCCATCTTTCTCTGCCACTTCTAACAACCGAAATTTCAACGCGCAAGCAGCCTCATCTCCTCTCCTCTCCGACCCGCCCATCCCATCGAGTGAACGCGAAGCCCGCCATGGCGAAGACGCAGAGTCGTTTCGGGACCCTTATGCTTAGAGCATTGCGGCATGCGCGCTCTGACCGTGGAAGTCCTCGTCCATGTGGTGGGCGGTGTCGGAGAGGAGAGGAGATGAGGCTGCTTTCGCGTTGAAATTTCGGTTGTTAGAAGTGGCAGAGAAAGATCGGACTTTGGCCGATAGGTTCCACTATGGGGGCTCCTACCCTGTTACCTTGTTTTGTCACGGGACTGATTCTGCCGATCCACTGCCTTTAAGGATTACTTTGAAACGAGAAAGTTCTACAGCAAAGACTAAGTTTATCAAGATCACGTAAACTCTGCTTATGAAGAAGTTTTTCTTAGATTTCTCCTCGTTCTATTCATTGAAATCTTGAAAGGATCACTCCTAGTTACACATTTCCTTAGGTCAAAGAAATCAGCCGAATTTAGCTGACAACCTTCAAACAAAATCTTATGAGCCATAATGAGATCAAAAGTTCCTGTAATAGGCCAATGATATCGCATAAACTCTTTATGCTCCTCGATTGACTAACGATGGCGTTGGTTGGCGATGCTGTCAATAGTTCCCGCGTAGTCGATGGTAAGGATAAACTACAGGCGGTTTTTGGTGGACTCTATGATTACTGTCTTGGATGTTGGTCCATGCCTTTGCTTTGCGAGGTCCAGTTTGTTTTTGAAAGTCACTAGTTTCATCTATTGAGCTAGGGTGATTATGGTGAAAAAAAGATTGTACAGCACATCCAGCAGGTTGAAAGCTGTTACCAAGATATTGCCGTTTGCCCCTCTTGAAGAGGAGGAAGTCTATGAAATTTTCCGCTGCTCGGAAGATCCTTTCTTCCCGAACTTAAAAGGCCGGGCATACTTCATGCGATTCCAGTCGCGACGCGATTTGGCAGTATTCCAAGTGTCCATAACTCACTGTAGGCACATTTCAAATGTACAGAAGACAGGGCTTTTATCATTCTAGGTAAGTTATACAAGCTATGCATGTGCAGTTTGCCAGAGTTGGATCTGAAAACTTCTGGCAAATTGCCAAGTCGCGCCGCGACTGAAGTCGCGTGAAGTATGCCCGGCCCTTAAGAAGTCGAGTGCAAGTTGCAGTAGGTGTTTTCAACTGCTCGCAAAAGTTCGACAGAAAGGTATGTTTTCCTAAAGTTTATATCTTCATAGTTCGCAGACTTCAGCAAAGTCTTGGTGTGGTATTTTTTCAATGAAAACAAAAGCGTTGGTAAAAGCGTTAGAACGAAGAAATTTGTTTAGAAGTTCTCCGCGAGATCTATCTTGGAAAACAAGTTAAATTTCCGTATAGTGCTACCAGCGTTACATGAAATTCGCAAAGGCCTAATCGGCGGCTTCTTATATTTTCGCTTGCTTGTACCTCCCAGAAACTGAGCGTTTGCATTCGCAACCAGTGGCGAGATGACTTGCATTCGGACCCAACTTTGAGGAAGATCTTTTTCTCTTATTTTTTGGTGGTCTTCGGGACATTCCAAGTTTATTGCACGAGGCTATGAGGCACACCCTCCGCAGGCTCGTAAGTTTCAGACGCTTGTCCTAATTGATGGTAGAGTCAACGTGATATTAGCTTCGGAATTCTGTGGTTGATGCAGAATCACCAAATTACCCTTCTTTAGAATGAATGGGATGCACTTTTTACTAGCAATCATATTGCGTGATATATGAAGCGATAAATCGATCAAATCTTACACGCTCTGTTTTAAACCAGTAGAGAACTGGCCAAAATTTCCTGAGACAAAGATTGATTCAGCACTTCAGGTTTACCATTGTTATTGCTCTCGCCCCCAACTCGGAACATAGAAATGCACGGAAGCTGTGGCATCTGCACAAATCGGTGAGCTACTTCACTAAGTCGATCAAATTGGTGAGATACCGCTATAATTACCAAAAAATGATATGGCGTCTCCGTAAATTACTACCAGAATGTGCCGGACATAATTATAGCTTATAAGAACATTTGGTACTTTTATCCGGACCCACTTTTGAAGAAGAGCAGAAAATAGGTACTTTAGCCTAGAAAACTTTTTTTCATCCAATAAGGACTGTCCATCTGCCATGTGATAGGTAAAAATTGACATGTGTTTTTCAAAAACGACCGATTATGTATGAGAGCTTTAAGATGACATTGAAAAGCTATTCGGCTGCTTTACACGAATGCAAAAAAACTCCAAGCTCCGATGCGACTATTGAGACACCTTGAAGTTTTTCAGTGTTCAAATTACAGGCGATGTCAAAAACCTATTCCCTTTTGTGCAGTCCTCCATTTGCAGGCACGCGCCGCAAATCCCGTGCGCCACGTGCGCGAGCGGACAGCAGAGCATTTTGCCAACTCCCACAGACGTCATCGATCGAGGGTTGGCAAGGCCCACGCCGTACGCACGCGAACGGAGCGCAGCAGCCTTGCGATGCGTACGCGTAAGAGCTACGGACTTGTGAGCTTCTCATTAACATGCACTGTATTTCCTTTTCAAACTATGACGGCGAACTTCTCACAGCGGATTATCTCTCCGGTTGGATGATGAAGCCCTTGCCCTCTTTCCTATTCTGGGCAACCTTATATGTTTGACCAAAAGCAGCATGTCATTACTACAACGCTAGGGTTCATTATCAGAGTTGCTGAGCGAAAATGGGGCGGTAATTGCACAAAAACAGGAAGAATTATCGTTAGTGGGCGGCCGAAACCAAAGCCTTGGTATGACCTGTTGAACAAAAAGATATCATGTCACTCTTTCTGTGAAGTTTGGACTAAATGTAGTTTAAGGAAAGAAAGGAAATCTTTCTATGAGAAAATGGATCCGGATAACGGAAAAGAACCGAAATTCCTACTATGACGTGCGGAAGCAGCGTGCCACACTGTCGATGCATCATTTCTCCCAGATAATTTCGGCACCAACTGTACGAGCAAAATTAGTTGAATTAACCAGCTCGCAATCCCTCGGAACGTAGGGGTTAATTGGTCAGAGACGTGAATCATAACATTATTCTCTTCGTAATGGCAATGCCTCATAGAATCACGCAATACTCAAAGCCTCTCCCCGCCCACTCAATAAGAAAACTTATGAGGAATGCTACTCAACTTAGCTCAGCCTTTTGGTAAGAGGCATAATTTGGAATCAGCCTCAAACGCTGATTCCAAATATGCTATTCTTAGCTGCCAAGCACCATTCCGAAGATTATGGGCTTTTTCCTACGCAAAATTGGCATACTCCTAAACATGAGAAGACTGCCTGTAAATAAAAATCTGCAAGAAAAAGGTGCTGAAGTGTCGAAATAGTACTAATTCAATCTCTTTTCATTGAAAAAAGCTTAACGCAGGTGTATCAGCACTTGAATGATGATGACGTCATGCCCACGAGTCGATGAGCATGCCAATTTTGCGCAGGAAAAAGCCCATAACTCGCTTCGGAATTATGCGTGGCAGCGGAATAGCATATCTGGAATCAGCGTTTAAAGCTGATCCACACTATATGTTCTTTACCAAAAGGCCGAGCTACGTTAGGTGACTTCCCTTGTTAGGCTTTTCTGATGACAAAGGTTGGCGTAATTACGTGGTTGACAGCACAAAGGTAGAAAGATGAAGTGCTAAAGTGGTACTACAACTCTTTAGGGGGAGGGGGGGGGGGGGGGTACGCTCTCTACGCAGTACGTCACAGTGCATATCATACTTATGAACTTCTCTCCCGAAATCAAGTTGTGAAGTGGAGCAAGATTTTACTTCTGATGGCATTAGCTGAAAAAAATTCTATGAGCTGATTTAGACGGAGATATCAATTATATGACCTACGCCCGCATAGCAGCATACTGAAATCAGTAGAATTTCAGACCTTGAAGCGCAACAAAAAAACTAGAAAAATGTCCTAAATCAGTTTCTAAATTATTTTGATGCACCATTCTTGATCACTCATTCTTTACATTTCTTACGAAGAAAATTTCTAAAGACTACCTTTGAAATCTCAGAGTTGATTTAAGGATAAAGTCGCTGTCCGTAGACGGATAGTTGCAATTTTTTTGCATAGAAGAAAGGTTTTGGCAAATTCAGCTTTTGTGGTATTACGAGCGCTCACTGCAACCAGAGCTAAAAACGGTTTGGAAAATTTTTGTGTTTATCCAGCTGTAGAGTAAGATATAACTTGAATGAATCCATTTTGCTTCATGCGAAATCACCGGTAGCTACATTTGATTCTCACATGCTTAAGTGAAGACCTTTTTTTCTCGGAAGTGCTTTAGTAGCCACGATCAGGGCCTTTATTGTTAAACTTGCCCATAATCCTCAGCGGTTTTATACACTGCCGCAAAATCGGCGCCGGTAATTCTAGTGTCCTGTATCGTGCTATTCATGCACGTGCAAATGCCCCTTATTGATTTTATGATGTTTGTATTCCAGAAAGATCCAAATGATAGAGAAGTCTTGAAAAAGAAAGTCCCCATAATATTCTCTGCTGAACAAAGTACAAGCAAAGGTCAAGATGAGACTCTAATTACTGCTCCTCCGATAATAGAAGATCCTGAAGATGATTTTATACGAGCACCTGTACGTGTAATTACTCCAGATTTAGCTTTCACGAATCAGATTCGAACGTAAGACGTAGTAGAAAGTAAAATCTTGCAGAAAGCGCGCATAAGAAGAATGTCGAGAGGATCTGTGGATGACGATGTTGCCTACACCCAGAGATCGAATATAGGAGCTCCAGGCCCAATGAAAGCAGTCAAGACTAACGTGGGAGAAGAAGTAGACGAGAAATCCGTCAGTGGAGAGGAATCACGCAGCCTAACATGTAAAGTCGTTCTTAATATTCTCTAGATAATTTCTCTCCCCTTCATGCTAAAATGTCTTAGTTGACACACACCGCCAGACCGTGTAAGTTCTTGCGATTAATTTCTACCATTTCGGACAAGAGGCTTCCTTGTCGAGATGTAGCTAATCTCCAACAGCTGTTCAAGATGAAAGTTGCTCTTTTGAGCCAACCTTCATTTTGAGCAGCTGTTGGGGACTAGCTATTAGGTTATCCCAATAGTAAACTTCTTTTCTGGATAAATCAAGCTTTTTTGTTCACCTAGCAAACTTAGGGTATCATTCGATAGGGCGAAGCAAACCTTACAAAATGGCAGTTGAAGATCCGCCTTGATCGTATCCAGGTAAAGGAACCACAAATAATAATTTTTAACTGCCCTGAAAACCGGATCTTCTTCCAGAGAGTTCCTACGGACCTCCAACTTGGTCTATAAATAGACGCACAGTAGTAGCCAAAGAGTCTAAGGGCCGCAAGCACTAACATCACATCCCCGCTGGGGAGGGGATCGCAGCTTAAAAAAAGCTTTACAACCTGATGCTCCAGAAATTGGATTTTACGCTGTTTTGCTATCCGTAAGTACCCCTACCATCCTTCACTATGAATATATTAAATGGGAGCAAGAAAGTGTACAAGTCGCATTTTCCTGCTTTTCGTATGAACCCCTATGATTCCCCGCGGCCAAACTTCTTTTCCTTGAAGCCATTTTTCTTCCTTCGAAGTCAACAAAAACCTTCCAAAGTTGTACTGATTATCTAACCCAACAGTGCTAAGCATGTTACTGATAAGAAGAGATGAGTTTTTGAAATATCGATTTTTTTTCGGTAAACCCCAACTTTTGACATGTGGTTCATCGCAAATTTGATGACTTCGACACATCGCTTGTTCTCACCAGAAACATGATCAACACTGGTGGGTTAGATAAAGCACAAATGTTTTTGTTGACTTCGAAAAAAGAAAAATGAAAAAAAAAGGCAGCAGGCAGGTGGGGATCATCAGGGGATGATACAAAAAGCTGGAAGATGAGGCTTTTACAGCTTCTTATTCCCGTCCAATATGTTCATAGAGAAGGATGATGGGAATACCTACGGATGGGAAGATAGCGTAATATCCACATATCTGGAGCCCCCCCCCCCCCCCAGCGGGATGTTAATGCATGCAGCCCTGAGTCTGCTAAGAAATCAAAAACAGCTTGATCTACCTTTAAAAAAGTTTACTTTTGAGGGAACCCCATACACTCCTGAGGACGAGCTATAGATTTATCGCACACAAAGACCGGACGCTGTTACGTCCGAATAAGACAATTCGCGCATGGGAGAGAGAGCAGACGAAAGAGGGATGAAAGCTGAGTGATCATTAATATCGGCGAATTGCATCTATAAGATACCTCCAAAAATTCAAATTCTTCATAAACACCCGTCAAATTTTCAATTAACCAGTGTGGTCCGTATCGTACAAAATGGCAGGACACGTACGCCATACAGGTGCATCACACATCACGTGTTTAATGAATAAGTGCAAATTCGGTATTTTAAACCAATTAGAGAAGAAGTGTTTGTTGCAAAAAATTTATGATCGAACTCCAGCAGTTTCCTAAAGAACGTTTAGCTAACTTCAAGACTGGTGAGATTTTCATACAATACAATAGCAGGGCCTCTAATCTAGTCGCTCAAGTCCCCCTGCATTTGCATTTTAAAGCAAAAAATCGCTTCAGTAGTTCCCACAATATCACTCTTGCTCACACGCTCCTTTAGAGAAAAAAGAATTTTTCCAGAGTAGTTGCATTCAAAATTCAATTCCTCTTTAGAATAGTGTCTGCTTTGCGGAACGCTGTATTCCTCCTGTAGAATCATTCTTGCTCACACGCTCACCTTCTCGAGAAAAAAGGATTTTTACAGAGCAATTGTTATCAAAATTTGAAATTATAGAGATTTTTTCAATTTGGCTACGAAAGTGGATGACAATCACCTAAAAGAGTGTTCTGCTCTGAGCAACGGTACTAATTCCTCCCATAATATCATTCTGCTCATACGCTCACTCTTGAAAGAAGGATGACATTTCTGCAAAGTAATTGTAATTTGAGTTGTTTTTCTTTTTTTTCATTTTCAAAATTAGCCCGTAAATCGGGAAATAATTCTCTTGAATGACCTACTGCTCCTGCTAACATTGAGCTTTTTCAAAAAAAAACCTATGGGATGGATTGAAGCAACAAGTATAATAACAACGTTACTACATTCGTACACAGCATGTTTGAGTACTTTCCCCTCCCCTTCCTCCAGCGTTTGTACTATACTTGGGACCGAATCGAATGATTATTTGATCATTCGAATAAATCATTCGAATGCGAATGATTCGAAAGTCGAATATTCGAAATTTTCAGTTTTCGAATATATTCGATATTCGAATATTCGGAAATCTCAACTTTCGACGGATATTCGATGACCGTCGAATGATGGAACTCCATAAGCATAGCACGCCACTGTAGGAGTTTTTATCAAGCTACAACACTCAGTGGGAAGTGTCTATGTTTTGTGGTCCTGGCGCAGTAGTCTGTACAGTAATCGTGATGCCCATTTCTCTCGCAGTATGTAGCTGCTATCGATTTTTCGCTATCCAGGGACGCCATCTTCATGGGTTTTTTTTCAACAGCGTCTGTCACTTTCTTCATGAGCGTCACTGAGTAAACTTTGAAACCGAAACCTAGACTTTAAACTTTTAGACCCACCGTAACACGGCTTTATGACCCAAAGTGGAAAAGTGAAAAATGAGCACCATATTCATGATCAGCGCACCGAATAACCCCCTGGACGAAGGTTTTACAGGATTTAAAGATTTTGTAGATACCGACGCTCTACGATACCCGCATCATGCGCTGGTACGAGCAAAATGTACTCCGGAGGGCTTTTCAGCTGCCCCTCTTCTTACATACACCATTTCTCTTTCTCTGATCGAAATCAGAGTTAACCTTCGATTCAACCGGCTTGGCTTCGTTAAAGGCAGTGGATCGGCAAAATCCAACAGCTCAGGATTTCAACGCGGTAGGTTCCTTGTCGCCCAAGTATGAAAACAGTGCAATCTCGGTTGCACGGCATGCTTTCCCTGCCGAGAAAATCGCTCTCAAACTTACACGCGTAGGCCAATCTTGCACGCATCTGGACGAGTTGGCAATTTCCTGCTCACCATTGGAGGCTGCCCGTCGCAACGCTATAACCATTGGGTCCTGCAACGATCTAGCGTCATCGGCCTTGCTCCGCTCGTCCATTTCCAAAGGGAATGGCTTTGAAAAACGCTTATTTACGTCGTTTTCACGCTTTCAAAAGTGGATTTTCGGGATCAGCGTATTGAAGAACCCCAAGTAAACGCAAATTTGAATAGGTTGAGATTTGCCGAGCCACTGCCTTTAAGGCGAGATTTGTGACGTAATTAAGGCCGCTCGCGCCTGCGACGCACGTACGTCTCACTCGCGCGGGTGTTCTCTGATCACTAGCTAGCTTTAATTAGGTCACGGAGCCCCGCCTTGTCAGAGCCAAGCCAGTTGAATCAAATGTTACCTCCAAGGTCGAGCAAGGTGGTGTGGCACACAAGCGTCGGATACGATGCGATTCCCTCCCCCCCCCCCCCTCCCATCGTCTGTCTCAATACCCCCCCCCACCAGCATTATCGTTTGCCTTCCGTAGGCATGTCATAAAGGCTCTAGCATGCATAATTAAGCACATATCCGTAATCATCGTGTCAAAAACCACGATGGACAAAGTTCTAGCAAATTTTGAGGGTTCCCAGTGTTGGGCAAAACAAATAAAGTGGTCATTTTCAAACGTAATTAACTATATTTCAAAAGTGAACTAGCTAAGTCTTTTTGTACTCAGTACAAAGCACTGCTATCCATTTAACACTATCATGAATCCTGCTCCAAATAACCATCGAACTATGGAATTAGAAGCAGGCCTCGTTTGTCATATTTTTTGCTTCCGATGGCTGCACTTTCACAGCTTCCAGAGCGAAGAAGGTTCAAGCCCAAACTACTCCTATGAAAACTGCAAATCTCAGGCTATCAAACTATATGTATTTTATCCCCTAAAACTTTTTTCGTAGGCAAGTTAATGGGTTGTGGCACAACCCCTGAAAAGCTGTGGCCGCCAAACCTTTTTAGGGGTTGTGCCACACTCCATTAGATTACCTTCAAAGCATTCATATCTCTGCCTTCTTTATATGGTTGCTACTGCCAAACCTTTTTCTCCACATAGTAGGAATTTCATTCAAAATTGTTCCTTCTAAGAAAAGATATAGTCTTTTTCCTTAGCTATGAAATGGATAACACTGCGAAAATGTTGATTACGGCGGTAATATGGTAAGTCTGAATATTGGATTACGGTAATAACTAATACGTGAATCGTCTCGTAACTTTCACAAAAGTGATTTGAGCCTGATTGGTCTTCTCAAGTCTGAGAAAAAGCTAAAAATGGGACAAACGAGATTTTGGCTTGCTCTTAATTCCAGAGTTTGGGGGTTAATTGAAGTGGGACCAGGGCTTGGCACGAGCTGGCACCAGGGAAATTTCAAAACGAAGTCCCGTTTGATATTGAAAAATTCGTACGAAGTCCCTTTTGACCTGTTTTGAAAACCCGTCATCATTTTTATATTATATAAAAACCAGTGCGTCACCTCTGCTTCGCAGAGGCTCGCACTGGTCCTACAAACTGTATGCGTTAATAATTCCCGCATAATGATGACAGTGAAACTCACCGCGTTATGCAGGCTATCACGAACGATTTGTAAACAACTACTCATTCCTAGAGCTTTTTGTACGAGATCGGTAATTTCACGTGGATGAAACTTTTCTCAGAAGAATAAATGCAAATTTGTATAGGTTTGTGGACTTCTCATGGCTTGGTAGTCGCCATAACGGCAATAATCACCGTGGGCTGCATCTCTGTGCAAAAATCTTCTCAAATGATCATGTAAAATCGTGGTAAATTGAGCATTTACGCACTGATACTTTTTGGCACCATTTTCGCAAAGTAACCAACTTTAGTTGAATTTTTTGAGCTAAAGTCCACGGCTTGTACATTAGCTTGTCAAACATATCCACGACTTTGCAAAAAGTTTATATACGGACCCAATTTTGCTGGTCAGAAGTTGAGTGGACCCGTTTCGCGCGCAATTTCTAGGGGATCCACTTATCGAAACCTCCTGTGCTTTTGCACAATGGACTTTCCTGCTGCTAGGATGTGCTATGCAAAATTTGGGCTCAAGAGGTTGGCTGGAACTCTCCCTACGAATTTCGTAACGGACAGACAGACACACACACAAAAAAACGTAAACAACCCTTAGCCCGTTATTATAAGTTATGAATATAGTAGTGTTTTCTGCATTTCTGATTTCATGAAAGAACTTTTCACAGCTTTCTGAGCTTTTTAAGTGGTCGAATCACCTCTTGAGAAGCAGAAAAAGCCGATTTTTCGACTGCGGAGCGGACCGAGTGGTTTTCAAATTGCTATATAACGCTGAAAAGAGAACATTATGAAACTGTTTCTTCTCCGTATGTAATCTTTTACAGTGTAGATGCATTTTATGTAAAAAAGTATGAAAACTTATGTGAGCAAAGTGTCGGTGCCAGCTCAGCTGGCACCCAGCTGGCACGGTGCCAACTAATTCAGAAAAAAGTTCAGCACAGCTTTCATTCACATAAGTTTTCATAAATTTTTGGCCCGTAATTCCGGTCCACCAACGCGCATACACACACCAAATTTGGTGTCATATATTGCGTTTTGGCTGAAAATAACGCCTTTGTTTGTTGATGGACAGCTTGCCAATGGCATGCCGGTGGCATGCCGATGGCATTTTTGCGGCAATTCTCCGCCTCGGCCCCTGTAGAAACATATCCCCTTTGCTTTCCGCCCTAAAAACGATATCCAGCTTGACCCGGTGCCAGCTGTGCTGAGCCCTGAGTGGGACCCCTAACCTGAGCAAAGAAGTATTGGTACTTTGTAATGTTTGCAAAAAGAAGTAGTTTACACAACTTTGAAACAAAGTTGGAATGTTCGAAAATGACCACCTCACTTAAATGTCCCAATATCTGGAAACCTCAAAATTCGCTAAAACTTGGCTCACAGGGTTATTTAACATGCTAACTACGAAAATGATGTTCTTATGTTTTTAGGATTCTTTCAATATGCCTACTGTGCGTGTACGACGGTAGGCCGAAACATCAGTTGCTGGTATCTTGCACAATAAACCCATCAAACATTGCTGACTGGCATCATGTCGCTGACATCACTATCACCTCGATAGCGCCCCCCCCCCCTTCCTGACCCCTTCACGACGCCACCAAGTGTGGCGTGCCACACCCACGCTTGACCCTGGGTTATCTCTGAGTTCCACGTAGACCGTAACACGCACCAAACTCAGAGTTATCGCAAAGCACAGCTGCGCGTTTCGTGGCGCTCTTTCAGAAGAATTTCGACGATGTTTTCCTTCTAGGAGTAAACTACCGATTACGGAGTCTCCTGCCATATCATCGCTTTCTAGATTTGGTCCATTCAAGCACTTGTTGAGGAGGTAAGAAAGGTGCGCGTTAGCTCATTATCACAGTTAAGTCAGACTAACTGTGAGTTTTGACCAGATTGCCTGACCCTGGAATTTTTTAATGTATTGAAGTTTTGAACTTTCAAAAGCACCAAAGCTTAAGAAATCGACTTGTTGGCTTGACTTTTGTTAACGAGCCTGAACTCTAGTGCACGCTGTTCTTCATTCGCATTCGGAAAAGGTGATAGATGTAAACGTGAACGTAGATGTTCGTAATATCGTCGCAGCGTTATTTCCACTCGACATCGTTGCAACAAGTCTTTTCAGAAGCACGCCTTCCGTTTGAGGCAAACGTGGATTGGAACTTCGTCCGCGTAGCTCTATGAGGCCTTCGAGCACGTGGTTTTTGAATTTTTGAGCGATTTGAGCCCGCATAGGCATTTACCACATCCAACGCTTGTAATTTTTGAAAAAAGTTCCAAAATCCAAATTCTGGTGAACTTTGAGGACAGATTCGAAACCAAGAAAGACGCTACAGTGGCTTCCGTCTCTCCTTCGTCATTCATATAGCGAATCGTCCCAACCCAAACTTATTCTGGCATGTCGATCCAAAATCGGCAAAATAAAGTAGAATCCCATATGGACAATTATGGTTACTAAAATATCATTTTTCGCACAAGGATTTATGAGAAGTGATGAAAGCAAAATTTGCTACATCTTGAGGGATGTGGCAATCAAAAGTTTATTGCAACCTAGCCGGTCCCTGTCTCACTCGAGATCTAAGTCAGTTCAGCCAAAATGTGTCACTTGCGCTTTCAAACTTCTTCTACGTGCCGAAAAAACGCTTTTAGACGAAGTGCTGCATTCCTGCCGATCTTGAGATTAAAATGAGTTTCACCACCTCTGCTTACATGTTTTTTGGAAAGTGGTGGGTTAGACATGTTAACGTCTTACTAATTCAAGTTAACAAATCAATAAATCAGTGGTAAGACCCTGCAAATCGTTGCAAAAAGTAGCCTATAGTTTGCGCAGGGGTCGAATGCACAAGTATGCAAAGTTTCAACTTGATCGGTCCAATTGCGGGCATTCGAAAAAAAACGAATAAACCGGAAACTTACAGACATTGAGTTTTATTTCTGTAGCCTAAGATACTTCTCAAAGCTTTTTTCGATAACGATGATAACACAGATTCCTTTTGCAGTATCCCGGTCATCAACCCGAAGGGAACGACATAAAGCTAAACAACCAAATGCAAAAGAGACAAGACGATCATGCTCTGTCGTACAAAAAAGTGAGGTTAGCCTTCTTCTTAGACATGGCAACAAGATGAACGCTGAAGCATTGATTCAAGGCTCACAACATTCTTGATGGACTGTTCTACTTCTTAAATAGCTTCGCTTAATCGCGAAATGGTCAACTTCCTTCAAAGGATCTCTGTATGCAATTTGATGATTGCTAGTGTCCATATTATCAGTGTCTTAAAAGCATTGTTAACACATCTTTCGTGTCCGTAAACATTTGTATGATGTATTACGTACCACTCTATAAAACCATATAGTCAAAAAGGAAAAAACTGCTGCTTCGCAAACTTCAATGACGTCACTCAGTAACATCTAATAATCATCTGGCTAGCTTTAAAGGCAGTCCAGGTAAATCTGGGCGCATGGTTTTTCGCCAGTAAATTGATGAGGAAGTCATAACTAAGGCAATGCTTAAGGGGCAGCGCAAATAGTTCATTCACGGTTGAGAAATCCGTCCCTAAAAACCCCGCGCCTGCGCCGTGACCGTAACCCGAAACGCCTTCGCTCACTTTGACATTACGTTCGCGCTGGGACTCATGCTAGTGTTACGGTCACGGCGCAGCCGCGGAGTGTTTGCGGACGGATTTCTCAGCCGTGAATGAATAATTTGCGCTGTGGTTTAAGCAGTGTCTTAGCTGGAACTTCCTCATCAGTTGCCAGGCAAAAAACCCATATGCCCAGATTTGCCTGGACACTGCCTAGCTTTAAGGGAGGCACCTTATTGCATTACTCCTACAAGACTGGGTTCTTGCACATGCATACAGTCTTCGCAGCTTATCTTGAAGCGGATGCGTTAAAAAATGCCATGTGTAAGATGTACTCGTTGCGAGCGCCATGGCGGTAATTTTGAATCGAATGAACTAAGACTTGAGATTCTGACCAAATCAAAATACGGTACTAGAAACATGGTGCTGACTGACAGCTCCGCAGACCCTTCAAAGTAAGCGCAGACTCCGGGGCCTCATTTGCATATGATAACCTTAGTTCGCGCAATCCTCATATATTTTGCTATAGAGGATGTCCCAAAGCTACAGGCATATTAGCCGTCATGATCGAACATTTAGTAAAAATAAAATCACATGTTGTAACGCCCATACTTACCGGCCACCCCGTTTATTGAGAACTCTTTACTGCTGCTGCGCATGTGCTTGTGATACTAAAGTTCAGATGATGGACATCTATAATTGAATCGTAACACGGAACTTTGTTGATAATGAAAGTGAAGCGCAATATTCTACTGCTCATCCTCCATAATTGTTATTTTTACAAACCGGAATGAGATAGGCGTGATTTGCGCTCATACATTGCTGAAGACCACAAATGTCCATAGTATGATCGAAAAACAGGGCAGAGCGTCCCAGAAGAAATACTTGTCTTGTCATTGCTCTATTTTATCATAGGAACTTTATCGACTGGTTTATGTGAGCAGTGCGTTTACTTTTTGGTTTAAAAGCGCTCATATCTTTTACAAAATCAGTGCGCAAGTAAGGAGATCACATTCGGATACAGCCGTCGACCTCCCAATGATGGCATGCATCTTGTAGTGATCAACCACTTTAACTTCGTAACAACAACCCTTCTTAGATAATATAGTATGCCTTCACAATGCAGGTAAAATGATAAAAAATCATATCAGTGTAAGATTACGGTAAACTTCCAGCATCAGGGCTCTCGAAGGTTTTAGAAATTTTCCAATCAATTAATTTCAAAAAATTGTGGGATGTTGTGTCATTTCAAGCATTCTGACTTCACTATATGAATGTTGACGAGTTCGTGAATTTTGAGCACTGTTAGAACATTATCGAGATCTCTGCAAAAACAGTGTTACGGTATATTGGGAACTTATAAACGAAGCATTACATAGCTTTTTCTTGCGAATCATATTTTTAGTTAGAGAATCAGATTAGCCAATAAGGAGGTTTCAGCCTGTTTGGTTTCCTCTCTAAAGCAATATAAGGTCTATAATGGCTTCAAACCTTCTTCAAGTTTTTTTCTATGTTGCAGTAATAAAGGGGAATTTTGACTTGCTAAATTCTAAAGTGAAGTTAGCTCTGCGGAATGGTATCTAGAGCTTGGCAGAAGATTTTGTGAGCGGAGAAATATCAGCGATCAAAAAGCGCTCACACGCTTTTCGGGACATCGTGAGTAAAAACACACTTAAATCATATTCTCATTGGTATCTACAAACCGTTTTGATCCAGGCAGGGTACACCTGCATCCAAATGCATTTTGAATGATAAAGTCTGAATTTGTGTGCTCCCGACATTCCATCGTTTCTTGCCGCTACTGTTCCTGACGCTTCATTTCCATTTCTCGCTCGATGATATCACCTAGTTTTTTCTCAGACTCATTTCTTTATTTTTCAATCGCGCTAGAAGAACGGAGAATGAAGTTTAAATCAAATGCCGCACTATACATATCATTCATTCTGTAACTATGTAGGAGGCGCGAGACCGCACACATTGTTAACACGTTGATGACGAGCCACTTTTTTTTGAGGTCTGTCCCTGTGGCATATCTTCGATAGTCTAGAAACAGGGCGTCAAAAGTGAAGGTTGTTTGAACATCTGACGTCATAAATAGTTTGCTGAAAACCGGATAAAAACGCTGCAACGAGGCTTGAAATCTTTCATTTGGCGGCTTTTCAAAGTGCAAGTTTTCGATTCAGGACCAGCAATTCGCAACACGGGGTTTTGATTTTTGATGCGTCCTTTAAATTTTTACTCCCGCATTGACGTTTCTGTTCCCTGGGATGTTGTCTGGATTGTTGCGCTTATTGTTCTGAGCAACAATCGCCCAAGCTGGAAAAAAATCGATGCGAAAGCACTGAAACTGAACAAGGTAAAGAAAAACGCACTTTTTACGATTTTTCGCAAAAAATTCCACCATAATCCAAGAGATAAGGGCTGGGAAACAAGGTTTTTGCCGGATTTCTCGATCAAATCAAAAAATGTGGTTCTGGGACGTTATAAGCGTGAAAATACAGATCAAGAGCTTCAAAATGATATATAGCTTGCTAAAATTGGGTTCGAAACAGCTAAGAAAAGGGTAGCAGAGCCAAATGCCCCGCGCCCCGCGTTTGGGGTAGCGAGATAGCGCGCAGCGCGCGGAGGCGCAGACGAGCAGCGGAGACAGACCAGAGCCGATGGGGCATTCGGCTCTGGTCGTAGATCTCCGCGGAGTCTCAAGAAACCCCGCAACATTATATATCATTCTGATCGCCATGACACTATGAGGATAACTGACAACGTCCCAAGCTTCAAAAATCACTCATTAACGAGATAGACCGGCGTTTTCGTGCGCGACTCTCTGCGCAAGATTTAAGCGCAGTTTCTCGTTCTTATTTAACTCCAATAGCTTTCCTAAACTTCTGAAACTCGATTTTGTTCAAATGAGAGATTAACTAAGAAATTTTGTTCTGAATTCTGGCGAAAATCCCATAGAAACCTTTTTTAAGGTAAAAAAGGCTATGAAGACGCAAATTCTCGGTTTCGCTGAGATAAGCTAAAGATTTTATTTCCTATATTTGCTTCATTAACATTGTTCCGATATAATCAGGATAATAACATCCGGGCGAGCCCCGGATGACTTCTGTTTTCTTCCAGGTGAAGGTTGTGTCCCCTCATAGCCCTTAAAGTGAAGGTTAGCAGAGTACGTGGCTCTATGTACAGGTGCGATAGTCGGAGCCGAGTCTCCGCCTACCTTCACTTTTGAGCTGATACCGGGTGACCACCTTCACTTTTGGGTTTGAAAAAAATTTTTTGCTGAAGCTTAAAAGAAGGAAAATAAACAAAAGGAAAGTAAAAGAAAGTATTGAGAGCATATATCTATGTAGTAGGTCGATCTAGGCAGTAGGCAGCCGAGAACCAGAATTTCAAATGATAAAATAGCAAAAAATCATGCAAAATTTCCACTGCTATATATCTGGTAGTTGAAGATGTCAGCAATTGCGACTTCATAGGTTTCGAAGACCAAGTGTTGTTCTACCAGATAGTGAAAGAATCGAGTCGATTTGAACAGTGGCCGCCAAGAACGAGAATTTTGAAAAATTAAGCGATTTTAGGTTGCTTAGTGACAGCTGACGTTTAAACTCCTAAAAATCTGGAATGTGAAGGTTTGCAATGTTGCGACTTCATAGGTTTTGTAGAGCAAGAATTTCTCTATCGGAATATATCTTAGCCGTACCGATCCATTGAGATACCGCCGAGATCCAGGGTCTTGAAAAAGCAGGTAAAAATCCGCTTTTTGAACTTCAACAGCTCATAACTTCTTCAGAATTGCACGAATCATGTTGCGACTTCATAGGTTAGATTCTTCTCATCAAGAGCTTTCAGATGATATATAATATGTGGGGGGTTCAAAGATTTTTGCGGCTCTAACCCAGGGTGGAGACTTTTCACCCCAAAGTCTCCACCTCGCCCATGTTAATGTATTGGCCGGAGACCGCCAGTGGAGACTTTGGGGTGAAAAGTCTCACCCCCGGGCATATGCCGTGAAAGGCGCGAAACCCCCACATATTATATATCATCTGAAAGCTCTTGATGAGAAGAATCTAACCTATGAAGTCGCAACATGATTCGTGCAATTCTGAAGAAGTTATGAGCTGTTGAAGTTCAAAAAGCGGATTTTTACCTGCTTTTTCAAGACCCTGGATCTCGGCGGTATCTCAATGGATCGGTACGGCTAAGATATATTCCGATAGAGAAATTCTTGCTCTACAAAACCTATGAAGTCGCAATTGCTGACATCTTCAACTACCAGATATATAACAGTGGAAATTTTGCATGATTTTACATTATTTTATTATTCGAAATTCTGGTTCTCGGTGGTTACTGCCTGGATCGACCTACTTTATTAGCAATACGTTATAACAAAATTTACTTAATAAAATACGTAAAGTCTAACTGAGTTTTACTTACAAATAGACTGTTTGAATAACACGTTTATTTCTTTTTTTATTTTTATGCCGCTGTACTCATCGTATTTGTGGCCCTAAAGAGGGCCGTTAGGTCACACTTGTTGGCCCTCAAGGAGTTCTTCAATTATCCGAAGCCCCTCCCCCCCGGTCGTTTTGAGAGGTGAGTGTCCGGCACTACCACCT